TATGAGAACATATTCAGTGAGGCAGTGAAGCTCCTCCAGTACAAAGCTTCAAGGAATTAATGTTGCCATGGCTAGATATCTTGGGTGAAAATGGGGACTTAACTAACTCTCTCCAAACCAGGGTAGTTTAACTTATCTGCAGTCTGTGTCAGAGGTAGAGCTATGATCTGAAAGACCAGGTTTGGGAGTGCTGGGAAAGGCTATCCCTCATTACTGAAGAGAGAGTACACCCAGAGGAGGAGATATGCTTGGTAATGGAAACTCTTAATCACAACACTAAGATCTTTGGAGAAGAGGGGGACTTTAAAGAATCCACAAGGTCTTTGGTCTTTGAAATCATCTTGTTTAAAGGCTGTGTAATTTTAGTAAACCAACCTGTGCTTTCCTCTGAAAACTTAGGATCCTGCATGACAGCAGCAGCAGCAAGCTACAACAGACTTTAAGCTTCTGCCAGGTCCAGTCTAAGCTGGTTGTGTTGAATGTCATGAGTAGTTCTCAGATGGCTCTAAGTCACCCTGAGATTGGTTAGAGCATGGTACTCTTAATGCTAAGGTCGTGGATTTGATCCCTGTTCAGGCCATTCAGTTAGGAATGTGGGTGGCTTCCAGCTCAGAATATTCTGTGGTTCTGTGAAGCTGGGTAGGAGTGGGTGACCAGCAGATGGGCTTTCCTGGAGAGACCAATGTTCCCACAGAATTGTAATACAACTTGTCAGCATCGAACACGTGTGGCTATTGCAGGAACTGAGAGGGGTGCAATCCTGCATTCCAGTGTAACACAATCAGAAAAGATTCAGATGGATATTGTAGCCCATATGTCTGTATTAACAGTAGTTTCCTCCTTTTATGTGTTGAAGATGATTTATGGTTTGGAGTAGAGCTTTTAACTCGTGGAATGTACATCACCTCTCTTTTATCATGGGGAAAGACTTATCAGTGCTATTTTACACCATAGCTTTTTGTGACTTAGAAGTAGTAAGGCAGCTTGCAAATCTAAGCACCAATCAAGCTTATGGCTATGAGGTTATAAGACGAATGCTGGATTTCCTTAGGTTCAATTAAAAAAAATGATCTGGATACTGCATGCCCTGCCTCAGCATCACAGTACTCCAGCATGTCTCTTGATAAAAATGTTTGTTAATTCCATTTGAGAGGTCTTGGCTGTTACATCTGTGCAACTCCCTAGATCATGATCCCAGATCATGGCCTGAAGAGGAAGGACCAAAAAGAGTAAGTTGAAATCCCTGGCAGAAAGCTGAAAGGAATGTGCTTATACATCATCTACATGTTTTTGAACCTTCTTCATCCAAAATCTGGAGACCTTCTAGTGTTCTGAGTGGAAAAAATTCTGAAACTATTCTCCACAGGAATTTTTATTCGTGAAGCAGGTACAATTTTGATGATACCCAAATTGAATCTGTTTCCAGTTCAGTTTCCTTTCTATATCATCCAGTAATCCTGGTGGCCTACTTGGGAATCAAAAATGTCTTTATTCCTGAATATAGCTGTGAGGGCTGTGACCAGAATTTTAAGGGTCCAGGACCCTTGAGTAGCCTGCCAGGGTGACTTATGGAGTTGGTTTGCCCTTCACTTCCATGGCAAGGTTTGAACGTTTGGGGCAGATTCTTTCAAGTATGTAATTTTGAAATACTGAAATGTTATGCTTGCCATGCTCTGTTTAGTCTCATTATAAGTCTAAATCAGTTTCTTGCAGTTGGTGTCCAGTTTCTGATAGTGACTATTATTGGATGCTGAAAAAGATGCTGTGTCTTAAAAGGGCAATTTTACGAACTTACCTGCTGCCATTGACCAGGAGCATGGAGGCTCTGTGTTTTCTGAAAAACTCAGAAAGTGATATTTTGCCTGTAAATTTTATTAAAAACAAAACCTCTTGAAGCCTGAACAGCATATAGTAATTTAAAAATACTCCTGAAATTGTCAACAGGATTTCTTCCTCTAAAGCAGAACAGTGTACAGTTTTACTTTTATCTTTGTTGTGCAATGTTTCTGCTTACAAGGAAAACCCTCTGAAGTTTCCAGGTATACAGAATACACTATTTGGATAGTGATTTGAAACATGAGCAGTTGCTGATTTAGCTGCTTTCAGTGGTGGGACTAAAGCTGAATTAATGCAGTATCAGTATTTTTTCTGAATACTGAAGTGAATGGATTAGGTCAGTCTTTTACTCCCTTTGTGTTTCCTCTCTAAAGATTTTAGAGGTCTGAGTTTGCTGTAGTTGTCTGAAACAATTTTCCAAGCAAACATTTGTAGAACAAAATTTATTATTGGTTCTGGGGGTGTGGTGATAGTTTTTTGTTTGTTAGTTCGGTTTTTTTATTTCCTCCTTGTGGTGTGAATTTTTGCAAATAACAGTTACTGTGGGATTTAACTAACCAGTTGCTGCTAAGGAGCAGAGTTTCAATGTCTGATGGAGCATTGTAGGCATACAGAGAATTGTTTACAATCAATCAGTAGGGAACATGGCTGGAATAAATTTAAATAGTGAACACAGTTCTGAAAACCATTATGTGAAAAGGACTTCAGCAAAATGTATTTATTCAAAATTGCAGTTTCATAGAAACAAAAAATGTGTTTACAAAAAAAAAAGGCTTAAAAGTGACAAAACTGTAATCAATTTGTGGTCTGGCAGCATTTTTTAGTATAGGCAGTTTTACCTTTTGTGTTGGCTTCTGTGATTTTTTTTCTCTGCAATGAGGTTCTATTTTTACTTGTGAGAATGCCCTTTTTTCTTCATTCTCTTATTTCAAAGCATACGATGGAAATGTGCAAGTTATTTTGGTTTAATCAGGCAGGTTTAGTTATCTCTTTTTACGTATTTTATCCTTGAGATATAATTTACTGTAACAGGTAACGTGGAAACTCAAGGTGTAATAACTCAAGTTACGCTTCTTCAGCTGCTGCAGTCTAGGATTCAGCATGTCTGATTGAGGATGGGACCAAAAAGAATGGAGTCTGCATATTCCTGTTATGGACAGGGACTGGTCCAGTAACCATCTGGACCTAGAGAGAGAATTACAGAGAATTAGATAATCAATTCTTTCATGTGCTGCTAGAGGATCTGCAGCAGCTGAGCAGGTGTTGCTGTGCTGGAGCCTGGGTTTTGGTGGTACAAGATGTGTGGGCAGACAGCAGAGACCAGCCCTTCCACCCCCTTGCCTTTATTACTTACAGCCAGACTGTATGGGAAGAAGGACAGAAGCATCTTAAAAGGAATGGGTGCTGCAGGATATATTAAGGAGGGAACTTTATTTATATTGTAGGGGAATGGAATGGAATGAAATAGAACAGAACATTTCAATTGGAAGGGAGTTACAAGGATCATTTCATCCAACTGCCTGACTGCTTCGGGGCTGATCAGAAACTAAAACCTGTTACTAAGAGCATTGTCCAAATGCCTCTTAAACACACTGATAAGTCTGGCACCTCCCTAGGAAGCCTTCATGGGTGTTTGTCTTCCCTCTTCATAAGGAAATACTTCCTGAGATCCAATGTAAACCTCCTCTGGTGAAGCTTTGAACCATTGCCATGTGTCCCGTCACTGGATACCAGGGACAAAAGATCCAGTGAGTAAAGATCCCCTCCTCAGGAAGCTGTAGAGCAATGAGGTTGCCCCTCAGCCTCCTTTACTCCAGACTAGAGAAGCCTCAAGTCCTTAGCTGCTCCTCACAGGTCATTCCTTCCAGCCCTCTCACCAGCTTTGTTGCCCTTATCTGGACCCATTCAAGGACCATCACATCCTTAAATTGTGGTGCGCAGAGCTGCACACAGTGCTCCAGGTGAGGCTGCACCAGTGCTCTACACAGTGGCATAATCACCTTTCCTGGGCAGCTGGTGATTCTGTATTTGATGCACCCCAGGATGGGGTTTGTCCTGTTGGCTTCCAGGACACGCTGCTGATTCTTGCTGTGCCTGCTGCCAACCAGCACCTCCAGATCCATTTCTGCAGAGAGGCTCTCCAGCCACTCCTCTCCCAGTTTATACTTTTGCTTGATATTAGTCCGTCCCAGCTGCAGAATCTGGTGTTTTGAATTGTTAAACTTCATGCCATAAATCACTGTCCAGTGTTCCAGTCTGTGTAGATCCCTCTGCAGAGCCTCTTGTCCCTCCAAAGAGTCAGCAACACCTCCCGGTTTGGGATCATCAGCAAATGTGCTAATGGTGGATTCAGCTCCTGCCTGCAGGTCACTGGTAAATGTATTGAACAGAACTGGCCCTAGAATGGACCCCTGGGCAGCACCACTGGTGACCAGTGACCCCCTTTGAGCGCTGCCCTTCAGCCAGTTCTTCACCCAGCACAGCCTGCAGCCACTCATCCCACAGCTGGACAAGTTGTCCTGAAGGATGCTGTTAGGGACAGTATCCAAAGTATTCCTAAAGTACAGGAAAATCATATTCATCACCTTTTCTTCATCCACTGAGTGGGAGACCTTACCATAGAAAGATAACAAGTTAGTTAAATGGCACTTTCCTTTTGTGAACCTGTATTCTGTCAATCTCTGAAATAGGAATATTTGATTTCTTAAAATGGACCATTCTTTTATACACAGTATTAGGCTCATGGTAACTAAATTAGAATGTTGTATTTTGCTCTCTGATGACAATTTTTCCTCTGCTTTTCTGTTTCCCTACCATTAGTTAGACTTCTAAAAAAATTATATGTTAAATAGTTTTGATTTGATTTAAAGGAAATATTACCAAATAGGAAAAATATTATGCAAGTCGAGTATGTTTTCCATCCAGAATACCAAAATAGTGTATACTTGCATAATTTGACTGAAAATGTACAGAAAGTAGTAATCTTCTTACTGATATGTGACTTAGGCAGAAGTTGCTGCCTTGGTTGAAAAAAAGTTCCTTCAAGTCTTAGGGTGCAGAACTTCTTGCTTAAAGAAACATCATTTATTTTGCGATTTCATGTGTAAATAAATAATGAAACATTAATTTTATTGCTCTGTGACTCCGACCTTTTATTTCCTCAGCCATCATGTACGTAATGGGAGCACTTGGACCTGCAGCTGGATACTTATTAGGAGGACTCCTTATTGGTTTCTATGTTGATCCTAGGACAGCTGTGTATATTGACCAGAGCGATCCCCGATTCATTGGAAACTGGTAAGGATCAAACATTTTTCAAAACTATTCTCTCAGTTGCCAGTAGGGAATTATGACAGGTTGGAAGATTTTATGCCTTGAGGACTTGTTTAAGGTTGTAGAAGGAGGCTGAGGAAGATGATGTTTCTGTTATTACTACTCACTAGCCTCTGACAGAGAGGAAAGGTTTGCCACAGGATTGCACAGGGACAGTGCATGGAAAACCCCCTATGTTTGGCTGATCAGGACTGTCCCTGACCACAGTGGGCACTGACTGACAGTGCTAATCACAGGGATGACAGGGCAGGATATTGGTGTTGCAGGAGGCCATAGATGGTCTCTGCTGGTCAGAACTGACTCCTTGTTACTGGAAGCTGGATTAATCTCTTTGGTTTTCCAGAGAAGGCAGCATGAAGCTCTGCTCCCCAGATGAGAAACGCTAGACTTTGCTGATCCTATTCCAGGTGAAGGAGATAGGATGGGGTAGAACATGCCCTTTCCAGTCTTTGTTGTTAATGGTAATGGCTTATGTTTAGGCAGCAGATGCTGTAAACCATCTCACATTATTCTCTAGTAAGGAGTAGGCTTCCAGCAGCACTGAGATGTAGCAGCTGTAATTGTTAGCTGATGTCTTCAGGCAGCCTTTGGGATGTGGCCTCCTTGGAGATGTGTCTTTGAGGAGGCACATCCTGGGGAGGCTTTAACTGTCTTTTCTCAGATAAGTCATAAATCTGCCTTGAAGTTTTCATGCAATCGCAGAAAAAAACTGAAGTTCATGATCCCAGGGAGAGACCTCTGCTTTGTAGGTGTAAGGTGCAGTGTCAGTTCTCATGCCCTGGGTTAGCGTTTGTCACTGCGCCATTGCAGTCCGTCTGTATCTGTTTCTGTTTCTTCTGCAGTCATCTTTCCTGACAGTTAGATATGAAAAATTCTCTCTTCAGAGGCTTCTTAAACCTTTAAAGATTTAGTCCTGCTTTATTTGTCTTGCTTAGTCCAAGAGCATTGCTTCACTGTTTTGTCAAATTTTCAGGAAGAGAAAGGCAAAGCTGAGAACTGAGTGTGGCCTTGGGGTTAACAACTCTGTGCTCTGATTTATCTACTGACTTATCTCACTGAAAGATCTGCTCTGTGAGTGTGCAGCAATGTCAGAATTCGGACTACTCTATAAAGATTTGGAATAATCTATAATATAATATAATATAATATAATATAATATAATATAATATAATTGGAATCAAAGAAAAATATTGCACATTCTTCATAGAATTCCTACACTTCATGTGTTTTTAATGACATGTCAGAACTGGTAATCAGCATCTGATCAGTACTTTTTGGCAGAAATTTCAAACAGGCCCATAAATATATTTGTTAATTGAAATCAGTGGGGCTGTGTGAATGTGGGATAAACTTTTGATTTTATCTGTAACACAGCCACTGATATAATTCAGTTTTAGCTCAAGCAGTTTCTGCAAAAAAAAAAAAAAATAGCCAAAGCAAGAAAGTCAGTAAAAGTAATTAAAAGTTTCCTTTTTTTATCTTGTTGATTAAATCTGTAGGGTCTGGCTTTCCTTGAAGGGTATTCCAGGTCTTTTTTATTTCTCTTTCATTTTTGACTGTCACTTCTTTCTCTTAAATTTCTGAGGAGTATCAAATGCTATCAGGTCTCTGGTAATTTATTGCACAATCTGTGGTGGCCTCTCATAAAAGCTTAGCAGAGTTCATAGCATTTGTGTCTCATTCTCTTTTCTCTTTCTGAATCTATAACCCATTAAAACCCATTAAAAAAAAAAAAGGAAGACTCCTATGGTGTGAGGGTCAAACCTTTGTCCTTTGCTACTCACTGACTGCCTGGTTGCAGAGAATTCCAGAAGTGTAGACTTTCATTTCACTGAAATGTATTTTCTGGGATTGTGACATTTTCTCCTTGAAGGGAAATGCTGTGTAGTCAAGTTTATTTTTATTTATGCAATCTAACAATTTGAAATGTGAGAGTAGCCCAACACTTACTTTAGCTGACACACTTTAAAAGCATGGTTCAATTGAGATAACTTAATGGGAAGTCATATATGAGATTACTGAGTCTTGTTTGCTTTGAAGTGAATTAGTGTCTTTGATTCCTATCTTTTCTTTATTATAGCTGTAAGGTTCATAATGTAACTTATCGTGGGACCCAATTTAACAATTTCCATTGTTAGAGGAGGCAATGCTTGCACACAAAATAGTGAGTATAGCAACTATGATATATGGCTAAAATAAAAGCACTATAGCCTATTTTTTTCCTTAATCTGTTCCTTTCTAGGAACATTGCAGGACACGTAATTTGGTTTATCTCTCGTGCCACATGGGAAAGTAAAATGGTTATTTTTCAGGGTTATGTCTGATCTGATTATTCCTTGAGTTTCACAGGACTTGGATTTCTGCTCCTGGGCTTTGCATACCTAGGGTTTCTGTAGGTGCTCTGGGCTAAATTACAAGCCATCTGTCTATGCCAGCCCATCAAATGTTTAAAACTGTTTTTTTTATTCAAATGTGGTAACTGTAGGGATATCTGTTAGAAATCATTCATCATGTTGTTGTCTTTGAGAACTGTTAATGTGCTATATAGGGACCTCATTAGTTGTGGAGTAGCCCTTGGCGATCTGTCAGGTGCTTTGAATCAAATTTTCTTTTGCTGACACTTTTCTGAGTGTTTTCCTAGTTCAAAATCTGTTTGATACTTGGGTCTTTCTGTATAGTCTTTCATCAACATTCCACACAAGAAGTTTAAAGGAATTCCTTGAGCATTGTCTGGTCCTTCCTTAGCTTTAATTGCTTTATTTGAGGTCCTAGGGCTCGTGCGGATGCCTTTGAGGTATTCTTCTGCATATTTTCTTTGACTTCAGAAGATAGAAAATCAAGGGTTTTTAAAATTAATTTAATTAAATAAATTAAGTTCCTGTTCTGACCTCTCAATTTCCCATTGTAGGTGTCTCTTTTTATTTTTGGTACAGTTTTTCGTCTGTTTTCCAATTCTTTGATACTTCTCCAGGAAGTTGTGAAGTGTAGATGGTGAGATAATTGCGTCCAGTGCTGCATTTGTGACATTTCCAGCATTTGGGATGCTGTCATAATGGTCCCTTTGGATTTGAATTTCATCTCGTACTACATTACAGGCCCTGTCTCCTTTGCTGTTTCCTCCTGAGTGGGGGGTTGCAGATTTCTGCATACTCTTGCCACAGATTGTTTCTTTGATCAGTGCCTTTGCAGCTTTTGCCTTTGAGATCCTGAAAGGGATGTTGCTACATTTTTATACAGACTACGGATTTATTTCGTCTGACAGTGCTGACTAATCCTCCTAAAAGTCTGCTTTCTAATCCATGTATGTTATCAGCTAAAATGAATGAATAGAGGATTTTCTGTTTACATAATATCAAAATTAGTCAAAACTTTCAGTCACTTATATTTGCCTTGCAAAAGCTTCCTGTAAGCTTCTAATAAAAATAGTGTTACACATGGCTGCTTATTTGTTGTTTGCCTGTGTGTAATCATTTATCATGAAAAGCATTGCATATGAATTTGTCTTCATTGAAAAAGAAAGGTTGCATTATCTTTGCATTACAAATATGAGGCCAAATGCTTTTTGTTTCTTGTGCAAGAAATCCTGTCTACTCAGAATTTAAAATGTTTTAAAATTTGAACAAATATATAATTAATAGTGTAAAGGTAGTACAAAAATATGCAAAAGTTGTTCTTGTATTGGGTTTGCACAGCAAGGTTTTAGTAGCAGGAGGGCTACAGGGGTGGCTTCTGTGAGAAGCTCCTGGGAACTTCACTTCTGCCTGAGGGAGGCAATGACAGCCAGCTCCAAGAGGAGGCTGGCCAAGGTTTACACCATCAGTGGTGGTGGTAGCACCTTTGGGATAACAGATTTAAGAAGGGGGAGACAAAAAGACATGTGCAACATTGGCAGTAGTCACAAGAGAGTGGAATGAGAATATGTGATAGAAACAGCTCTGCAGACTCCAATGTCATTCAAGAAGAGGAGGAAGTGGATGTGCTCCAGGTGCCAGAGCAGATTCCCCTGAAGCTGATGGGAGCCTTTCATTACATTTTCTCTCTCCTGTCCTGCTGAGGATGGGGAGTGATGAGAATGGCGTTGGTGGGCATCTGGCATCCAGCCAGGGTCAACTCACCGTAATTCTGGAAATTTGATTTGAAATGAAAAAGCTGTCATTGTTGTGGTTGGCTATTGACTTCACTGGAACTTCCAAATACCAGCGTAGATTTGTGTGGTGGGTTGGCTTTGACTGGCTGCCAGGTGCCCACCAAGCTGTCTCACTCCCCTTCCTCAGCAGAACAAGAAGAAAGTACGATGGAAAGCTCATAGATCAAGATAAGGACAGGGAAAACCCTCACCAATTACTATCATGGGCCAAGTAGACTTGATGTAGGCAAATTAATTTATCACCAGTTAATAACTGAGTAGGATAGAAAGAATTAAAGAGAAACCTACAAGCACTTCCAACCCACTTCTTCTCCCAAAGTTCAGCTTTGCTCCTGACTCTTCTACATCCTCCACTGGAGTGATGCAGTGGGCTGTGGAAAGTGGGTTGTGGTCAGTTCCTAACACCTTGTCTCTGTTGCCCCTTTTCTGCTTCAGACAGTCTTTAATTAACTGGTCCAGCACAGGTCCTTTCTGTGGGGTGCAGTCCTCCAGGAACAGAAAGTTCCAGCCTGCAGCATCCCCTGTAGGTGACATGTCCTGCCTGAAAACCTGCTCCTGTGGGGGCTCTTCTCCACTGGCCACAATTCCTGCTTGAGCCTACTCCAGTGTGGATTCCCCACAGTCTGGAGTTGGATACCATGGTCTTGTCCTGTGACTGCAGGTGAATCTCTGCACTTGAAGCCCCTTCTCCCCTTCTTCTCTCACCTTGGGTCTGCAGGGCTGTTTCACTTCACACAGTTGCTGTGCAGTGTTTTTTTCGCTTTCTTAAGGAAGTGAACACCAAGGTGCCGTAAGCATTCTGATAAGGTCAGTATTGGGTAGTGGTGGATCTGTTTTAGAACTGGCTGGAGCTGTCTCTGTCCAGCATCGGAGATCTCATGGCAACTTCTCACAGGGGCACCCCTGCAGCCCCCACTGTGCTACCAAAACCTTGCCGTGTAAACCTGGTACAATGGGATGAGCCTGTAGTGAAAACTGCACTTCCAGTATGTAAGAAGGAGCGGGTGGATTCTGAGGTTGTCCTTCTTTATGGAACCAGCTGTGTGAGTTTATGTTTCCCTTAGTGTTTCACTGTTAGAGGAGAAATGTTATCTGACACTCTGCTATCGGTGTTCTGGCTGCTGACTCGAGTTAACTCTACAGAACTTTCTGGTGCAGCCCTTTTGCGCATCTGTGGTGCTGTGGTGAAGTCCATGAAGCTTTTTGGCTGCAGGGAGGACAACTGTATGCAGCTGAAGAGCTGTGCTCTATGTCCCACACATTGTCCCCTCTGTGGGTATGTCCCAGATCATTCTCTGAGAGCCAAGGGATCGTTTTAGGGTTATTTTTATACCCCATATTTAAAATAGAGAGGGAGAGAAGAAGAAATTCTTTGTGAAGGCTATTTCAGGTTGCAGTCACAGAACAAGAGTTTTGGGCATAAACCCTGGCATGAATCGTAGCACATCAGTTGTTTATGTTCAGGCTTTGGGAACTCTTTAGTTGTGAAGAGAGAGAATTGGACAGTCAGGGCAGTGAGAGGTGGGCACTGGAAAGCAGAACAGATTTAGCCCTGATGTATCTATCAGGACATTTTATCTTCTCATGACATGGATAGCTTATTCTGTGTTCTCCAGAGAAATACTATATTGCTTTACTGGGAATTGTCTGTGAAAGGCTAAGTCAAAGTTAATATCTAATTCTCAGCACTTGGTACTGAAAAATTACTAAACCCGAAAATTTGTGGTAACTTAAAGCTGACACTATTTAATAAAATTTGGTGGGTTCTGGATAAATACCTTTCAGTAAGTAAGGCAACAGAAACATCTTCTGATTAAGGAATTTAGTACAGTAAAGGTTCTCCCCCACTCCAGTTCTTTACTCTTAGTGTCAGTTTTTCATATTTTGCAAATGTGTCTTTCCAGGCAGTGCAGCTTCTAACAGTAACTTTGATTTTTTTTGTTTCATGTAATGTGTTTGCTTTTGTTTCCATTCCTGTTTTCCTGGCATTAGGTGGAGTGGATTTCTCCTTTGTGCCATTGCTATGCTCCTTGTGATATTTCCCATGTTTACCTTTCCGAAAAAGCTCCCTCCTCGACATAAAAAAAAGAAAAAGAAGATGAATTCTGATGATGTTTCAAGTGATGATGACGTGATGAAAGAGAAAACAAGTAGCAAAACAGAAACAGACAGTTCAGTTTCTGCCTCTATGGGATTTGGAGAGAATGTTAAAGGTAAAGTTAGTTTTTAATTTATAAATGCTTTAGATTTGGTGTGCAGGGTCATCCAGGATTGTATGGGTGTAGGTGAAGGCAGTTTTTGACATCCTGTATTTGCTATTATGTTTTGCTATTGAGATTTTAATAGATGCTCATCCTCTAAAATGACAGGGTCCAGCAATGACTGTAAGACATTCCTTTCCTTGAATTGCCAGTGTTTGTGTACCTGTTACAAACAGGTAGTCTATTTCATATAGTTACAGGACCCATACCACATGTATTTATGCATCTTAGAGTTTGCAGTTGTCACACCTGCTTTATAAGCTGAACTTCTTGGAATAACCTGCTCTTCCACAGTGTAAGTGACACAAGTAGAAGGAATTCTGGTATGTGAGTTCAAATACTTTCATGTATTTGGGTAAGTTCATAGAGAAAGATGATCTGTTTCATATTCCTTTCCTGTCTTGTTTTGTACTGCAAACTATTTTCTGAAGGCTAAGACAAATAAGACCTGTGCTAATTTTAAAATGTGAAGAGATCAAAAGATTGACAAGTAGTAGAGATTTTTATTTTATTCAAGGAGTACCTGTTACTGTAAAGTGTAACAGTAAATAATAGTCATTGACAAGTTGCCTGGGGAAGAAGGGCAGTGTTGCTACAAATTGATTAATGTGAAGCATATAGAATTCAAATTGATAATACAAACTTAACAGTATCATAAAATTGAATAGTGTAGGACAAGAGTGAATGTGCCTTAGTGCTATTTTGTTGTTAGTGCTATTGTGTCCTCCTTGGAATCTGTGATGCAAATGCTGGTTGTGCCATTTATGGTAGCCTGATAAATGTAGCTGGAACTGGGAGAAACCATGAAATATCTATTGTACCATCAGACATAATTTGAACTCAAAACTGCTAAGTGTTTGTTGAAATAGACATTAGTGTTACTCTTTACTTGGATATAAGTCCAGGCTATAGTGATTGGAAGACTTTCTAATGCAACATTTATGATCACTCTTTATGCTGACTAAACAAGGCTTAGCAAAACCTGTTGTTTTTAGACTAAACCCAGTGTAATTTAAAGTAATGTTTACACAAAACAAAAATAAAAACTTCTGTATGTCTCATTTTGGCATGTGGTATTTGGTACTCATATTTAGTATGTATCTGCCTAGATGTATAGCATACATTCTATAAAATACTATGTTAATATATTAATGGAGTTCAAACTTTTACTATACAAAACTTTTAGTTTTCTTTAGAGGAGAAACTTCACCATGTGGAACAGTGAAAAGAAACATGCCAGAAAGATAGCAAGCTAGTTGAGATAAGCAGAAAAAGTATTTTTCTATAAGCTGATAATAGCTTTCCCATTCAGTGTCAGTTACTCTAGCAAAGAAGTCCTGCAGCAGGAATGCACTATCATTTAATTATTTTTCCAGTTTAAGTGGGCTTTATGAAATAAGATCATGCCTCAAGCTCCTCAGCTGAGGTAATTTTGTTTATAATGGGAAGGAAAAAAGGATCATGTGTGTCTAAGTCATTTAGCATTGCTTCTTCTGAGATGCAGTGAACATTTTATACTTTCCGTTGAATGTCAGAGCTTCATCTTTTTATAGCACTGTGGGCGGAAACTCCACTTAGGCAGTAGCCAGGAGACTGTGGATTTAGTAGGTCATATCTTCTGTTCTATACTAATAAATATCAATGATGTCATAGTCTGCCATGACAGAGGTCAGTGCCATCAAATCTGAAATCTATGCAGCTTTGGTAAGGAAAGTAACTGTTTTCTTCTTCCAGTATGATCTCATCTTACCTGGGAAGCCTGGCAAAATGATTTTTGTCTTGTTCTAACTTGTCCTAATTCCCTAATGAATCTCTAGGCGAATGAAAAGGTATCAAAAAGTTGTAAGAGTCTTTTTTTTCTGCACTGACTGCCAGTATAAGCTGAAGAAGTAAATCAAAACTGGCTCCATCTGCAAGTAGCCTCAAACTTCAGTGACCTGAGCTTTATTTTGGCCCATGGTAGAGGTGAAATCAGATAAAAATACAGATACAACTTTGATTTTTCACTTGTTTCAAGTTGCAAGGGCTTGGAATTCAGTCTTTTCTTACATTTCAAGTAGAAAATGTGAGCTGAAGAATGCTTCTGAATCAGATATCAGAAGTACTAAATAAAAGAGTAAGTAGGTCACAGGAGGAAGAAAATGGGATGTAGTTTATTGGGAAAAATAAAGGTAGTGTAGATTACATGAGCTGGAGGAGTTTTATAATGAATAAACCATGGTTCAATCCCATATGTGCAGATAACACATGAATCTGAGCAGACAAAACTACTGTTTTCATTTATTACCTAGATACCCTTAGGGTTTTGTATCATGGGAATTGTATCTGCAGTCATTTTCACTTACCACTGTAATGGAATTTACTGTGCAATTGAATAAAGGAGCAGTGTATAGAAAGCAAATGTATGTATTACTTATAAAAGACTGATCTAATCTGAATCAAATAATTAATCTAATTAATTACCTGTATTTTGTAGTCTTTGGAGTTTTTTTTGATTTGTTCCTATGTACAGCCCTTTCTTAAATGTAGCATATTCCTGTCTGGCTTGTCACATCTACCAGCTGTCCTATGCCTTCCTTGGTGAGTTCCTGTGAGGGGCAGAGACAGGATAATAATGATTGTCAGGGCATCAGCAGAGATAAAAGAAGCTCCTGAGGGGCTTGTGGTGGCAGGATAAGCCCACTGAAGTGCTTTGCTGGAGTTTCTGTGCTACCTGAAGATCAGTTGACAGGCATTAGAAGAGGAGGAGGAGGCTGTGGGGTGTGTGTGGGGGCACTTGGTGAGCACTGTGAATGTCAGAGGGTTCAGCCGACCATGGGCTGGAGATCCTGCAGTGCCACTGACCTTGATCAAGGCAATTCCCTCTTGTCCTTTCTTACACTGTCCTGAAGAGCTCAAAATAGAAAAAACTGTCATAGCGCCATGCAGTGATGAGCAGTGCTAACTGGAGCCTTGAGAGCCTGCTCTAAATCAAACTAAAATAAGTGATATTCATATCAAACTTGATGGGATATTAGGGGCTGTTCAATGATCCAGCTACCACCCAGGTGCTTAAGGCCTGTCCTAAGAGTTGAATGAGGTTGTTTAAATGGTTTGTAAGTAGATAATGAAATGGCAAAATACTGTTCTGGAGATCAGTGATTAGCTCCATGCAGGATATATTTGACATAGTTGTGTGTCACTTTGCTGGTTTCCATTCTGATAAACAAACCAGAAATTCTGTCTCAAATCTTGGCTCTGCTTTGTGCTGCACAAGAGTGGAAGCTGTCCCTGAGACCTCAGTGTGGAGCCAGCCCTCTCCACAGCTGCAGGCTTGGGTGGTGCTGTCCAGACTGGGAGCACTAGCAGAAGGGAGGTCTTCTGGCTGATATCTGCCTCACCCTTACAAGGGACTTTTCTGATGGGCTGTAGACTGGAATGATTTATTCGCCTGATTGTATTCATTGCATTGCCCTGGGCTGGGTGTGCAGGAACAGGGATAAAAGAAATTATATTAAATGTTGAAAAAGGAGGTGAAGTCAGAATTATTTGAGTTTTTATTGAAATTCTGTTTACAGTGCTTTGCTTAGAGAAATATTTATGAATACTTGTATTACTTGCAGATTTTTCTTGCGCTTTTCCCTTACCATGAATCAAGCAGTGGTCCAGCACATGAGTGAAAGAAAAATTAATACTGACCAGAGAAAAAATACTGTCAAAGATCATGAAAGGAAGAAAATTGCCAGTAGTCTAGCAAACCAGTCCAGCAAGGCAGGTTTCAATTTACTCTTGGTTATATACTAGGTTATTGGGGGAAAAAGAAAAAAAAGATGGGATGTTAAAATTTGAGTTACTGCACAGAAATATAAACAGCCATGCTAAAAGATTGCTTTAGTTTAGGAGTGTAATTGATAGAGGTTTATTAGTTTAGATGACAGAATGAGGGAAATTGCAATTTCTGTAGGTTTGCTTCTGATGCAAATTTTCAAAAACATGCAATGTCTTTTGAAGATGTCTTTCCAAACAATCAAAACTGACAGGTTTAATAATGGCCTTGAAATCAAAACCTAGGCCTGTGGCTAGCCACACAAAAATAATTTGACATAGAAATGTTTTAAAAGCATGATGGATTATGTAGTATAAAGGATCCTTAAAGTTTTAGCATTCTTGCTTTTTACTACAGTTACTGTGGTTGAAAGGTAATGAGTTACTTAATAGTACTTTTTTATTCTAGGTTTTTAAATTCAGAAGTGTAGTACAGGTGTTGTCACACAGGGTTTGATGGTGATCACAGGAGGAAACCAGGGAAAGTCTATAACTCTGTGTGTTTTTATTTCCAAGTTTCTTCTTATATAGCAACTTTCCTTTGTATGCCAGACAATTTCTGTTTATAAACCACGAAGATCAACTCTTAAGTGCTCCAGGTGGTGTGCATTAGTGTGGCATGCAGAAATAAACTCTTTATTTCATGCCAAAATTCGTAGTAATCAGCAAAGCTGTTCTCTCAAGAGCCCTTCACATGGGTATAAGGGAACTTGTGCTTATTCCAAGACATTAAGTTTTATCTACTTAACAGGAGAAATCCCATTTCAAAATACTAATTCGTTTTGAAATGAATAATGACCTTTAGCCTGAGTGCTCAGATGAGATGTAGGTAGGAGTCAACAGAAGTACAGCTCTGCATACACACGCTGGAGCAAAATGTTCATTAGCTCTGCAGTTCTTTGCCAAATTAATTCTTTAGTTGACTGAAAATTCTAAAGCTGACATTTTCATGAAGCTCAGTTTTATCAGGAAGGGCAAACTTTACCCCATATTATGATGTCTGGACAAGACTTTAAAATAATCCATTTAGCAAAGACGTTGAGTTCAGCTCTCGGCCAAGAACTACCAATTCATTTCTACAATGAACGCTCAGGTCATCTTGCTAATAAAATTTTCGTTCTCTCTGTGATGATACCTTATTTTCTCCCACATTTTAAACCCAGGTGAGCAGCTGCCACTAAGTAGCTCAGTTTCCATCAGGACCAGTCCTTCTTTTTGTTTCCTGACTCCTTTCTCACAGCAGCATCAGCATGGTCATAACTGCTTGCTCCTGTTGTTTCTATTACAAACAGCACCAAACTTTTTTTAATGCTGTAGGTGGTAAAAAACATTAAGATTAAAATATATGATTGCTTCTTAATATGTTTTATTCATTAGTTATTTCCACCCAATTTTGCATTTAACATTTAATATGTTTCTTCATATATGTAGCAGGAGAGCATTTCACTACATTAAAATTATAAACCCAGTACTCATAATGAATTCAGTATAAATTTTGACAACTGGCATAAGCTAATACTGGATGCAGTCAGACAACTTAAGTGCTAATTTGCAGCTTGACAAGTTTCGACATGACAAGTGAAATTCTGTTTGCTTTTATACAGATAACCTACTGGAGTCAGTGCAGAAAGTGAGACAGATTTTTGTCTTGACAACTTTTAACATCAGTAAAATTCTCAGTTGTCCTTGCTCAACATGTATTTCTAATGGATGCTCTTGTCATTGAATTCAACTGGCTTTGATTCAAACACTTATTCTATTTCTGTACCAAGTGAAAAGCAAATGAAAAAAATCTGAACTATAGTAGGTTAGATATAACACTTGAAAAAAATCTGATCTGGGGTAAAAAAGCCCCAAGGAAAAGAAGATGTGTTTAAAATCATGGCATCTAATAAAAAAAAATTAAGTACTGAATGAATAGGGTGATGATAATTTTGGCTGCAGGACTAAATTAAAAGTATGTAAATGTTTAATTTAACTACAGTGCTGAATTTCATGGGGGTTTGATATTTGATTTGAGAACAATTGCAACATCTATGAATCCTTTTTCATTTTAAGTTAATGATGTACTCTCATTTTTAATTGATTGCTTTATCCCTTCTGAGAATATTGAGTTGTATGTATTGTATGTTGAGATTCCTTGATATTACTGATGTAATTTTTTTCATTATGCTTAGTCTGCATCATGGTAAATGCTTCTAAATCATGTAGAAAAATGTTTAACTAAAAATATTTTGGTACCCCTTTCAAATTAGATTATTATTACCCCAGCTTTCCAAGCATGGTCCTTGAAGCAGAGAGTAACAGGAAGAGTATAGGATCTTTTTTCCTCCTATGGAGTGCAAATCTCAGTACTGTCAGTTCAGCAGTGTGATATGTGTTATCTCACAGAAAATCTCAAGATAACAGAATAATTCCAAAATCTCTACATTTTATTGCTGTTTTTCTTTCTGTTGTGGTGTTACTATCTGTTCTTTCAGATGGTTTTTTGATACACACCTCAGTTGTGTTTGTGCCAAGTGGCCCTGAGCGAGGCAGTGAGATGGGGTCAGAGCAGGGAGCAAGGGCTGCAGTCCCAAATATGCACTCTCCCTTCTGTCTAGCAAATGTACCAGCTGCTAGCAAGCCATTATTGCTAGTCTGCCTCAAAGAAAATCAGTTGGTTCTGTTTCAGTTTGCTTTTGTTTCTCACTCATTGTTTATAACATTCGTTTGTAATTTTTGTCATTTTATAGAGCTTCCAAGAGCAGCTGTCAGGATCTTAAGCAACATGACATTCCTTTTTGTGAGTTTGTCATACACAGCTGAGAGTGCCATTGTCACAGCTTTTATTACCTTCATTCCCAAGTTCATCGAGTCACAGTTTGGCATCCCAGCTTCCAATGCCAGCATCTACACTGGTAAGGCATTGCCACGTAGTGTTACCTTGCAAGGTTGGCTTTGGCTAATGAAAATGGGTCAATTAGGAATGAACCAAAATGCGTTCATTCAAACAGGTGATTGGATCCAGCTTTCTGCATTTGGTTAGATGTTCAGACTATTTTTTGATGTTTGTTATATGTATTTAGTAAGATGTAAACCCATTTATGTTGTTAAAGGGCTGGATTCTTTTTTTTTTTTTTTTTTTTGCATAGGCCTAGACAGATGTGTTCTCATTTGTTGATTGTCTCCAAGGGGGAAAAAACCAACAAAAACAAGCTAGAAAAACCATAGACATGACTGCTATTTGTGTGCTTTAAAAGATCTGTTAAAACTGTTCTTATTTTCTGTGAATTTTACTTCCTCTTTGATCCTTAAAATATCTTTATCTTTTTTTACCTTAGTGAAAAGTTGTTTATCTGTCCCATCCTTCAGTTATCTCTCTCCTCCAGGGTAGTGGTTTTCTCCTTATTTACATTGAGACAACAAGCTAGTCTGGTCAGAACTTCCCAAATTCTCTCCTACCCATCATTTCAGGAGACCCCTGCTGTACAGCCATGTCCAACTTTTAACAGAACTACAGAGCACAAAATTTTAAGCTTCATGCTCCTCTGTGACTGAGAGAGATGAGAACTTGGCTACTAAAGGAGGCCAAAATATTGTGCAGAACTGGGGCCTGTGTCATGCAGATGAGTTTCCTTCTCTTCTATCTGTGTCAAAGACATATGTCTTTTTAATAATCTTTTTAAATTCTCCGTAGTGCTTCTCATATAGAAACTGCTAATTGCTGGGCAGGTTAGTTCTTTGTTCCCTCATACTTCCAGACACTGTGCCCTAGGAATGATGGAGTGGAGTGAATTGTGGGGACACAGGTGAAGTATGGGGTGAAGCTGCCTGGGGGCATCTGTCAAAAAAGGACAGAAAGTAGCAGAAGGAGAAAGGAAGGCACATAGACCTCACATGGGAAGAATTTGTCATTTGCAGTGGCTGGAAGAAATGCAAGGAATTTCTAGAGTGGTAAGGGGAAAAGTCTGAGAAACACCATGTGGTGCTTTTTATTTGAGAGTTTCTAGGATGAGATTTTCTTCAGGGCATGAAATCCCTGTGTTCTGCATATAAGGAGGAAACATTGATTCATGGGACTGTGGTGCTCTCTGAAGCTTAGAGTAGCTGCAGATGCAGGAGTTTTACTGTAATGAGTCTTGATGGGATAGCTGCGCCATAACTTCATTCTCAAGATAAGCCAGAAACATTCTTGCCAGAAAAAAATACTCAACAGTCAGTACATTAACAGAGGTAAAACCAGCGTGACCTTGCCTAAAGTGTGAAGTTATTAACATCTGTTGTTTTCCCTGTTATAAAGTACTTGATAAAGACTATTAAAATGAACCAGAAGAAGAAGATTAAATACGTCAGAACAAAAAGAACAAGTGAGCGCTGCTTCTACAATCTCAGCTCTTAAACGTAGCATTGGAGTCAACAGTTGTTAATTTTATACATATTTTTTGTAGGAACAATGGGAAAGGGAAACTTAGAAATTCTGTATTAGATTGCTACTGGCTAGTAAAGACATGACAAATTCACAAATTTTCTGGTTAGTAAAAGGAGAATTTACATGTTATTTATGTTGTACATCTATGCTTAATACACACATCGCCAGCTGAGAACATGTGCTTCCTGAATCTCTTCATGTAAGGATTTTGCTGGCAATTTTTTGTCTTCTAAGCAGCAATTCTTTAATTAAGTCCCAATTTCTTTCAGTTTTAAAACAACCCTGGCATTTTTCATCATCAAAAAACACTATGTGCCAAATTTCGTGTCTTGAACTTGTGCAGCTTCTACATTTATAATTTCTGCTCTTGGAAGAAAAACTGGTTTTGATTCTGTGAAAACTTATTGTTTAGAATCTTCCTCCTGAAATGATATTTTCTTCTATAATGTCATTGGTGATGGCAGGATAATTAAGGTGCCAGCTGTTTTGCCCTTTTTTCTTTCTTTCACAATCTCAACATTTTGATAAATATAATGTCCCTTTCACCTTTAGACATAGTAGTAGAAAATGACTCTGCTTTGCAATAATTGTAAAGATACTTGCCTGTGATAGTCTTACTGGCTTCTTTAAGAGACCAGCATCTCTAACAATTTGGATTATAAAGTTTGACATCTCTGTAGATGCAGCTGCCAAGTAGTAGTTCAAATTCCATGTGTATGTGGAATGCAGCTTTATTGGCAAAGCCTTTAATTAAAGACCTTCTCACATGTCAGTGAGAAGCAAAAGACAAGGGAAGAAGAGTGCAAGACATTTGCTGACTTTACCACCACCTCAGGACCTGACAAGTGGGGACAATCTGGTGATATGTTGCTGTACATTATGACTGCAGCAGCAGAGGTTTCATAGGCACGTCTTTGTGTCTTACATTTACCCTAATTCTATTATCTTAATTTTTTAAATTGTGTTTGGTCAGTTTGCACTCCACATGGAGTGGAGAGATGAATTGGAATGCTGAGTTAGGAGTTGTGGAGTCATACACTCCAGGTTGAAAAAGACTTCCAAGGTGATCAATTCCAAGCTTTGACCAACCACCACCATGTCAATAAACATCAAGTTCCACTTCTGGTCATTTCTTGAGCACCTCCAGGGATGCTGACTCCACCATCTCCCTGAGCAGCCTATGCCAGTGGTTAAGCACTCTTTCTAATGTCCAGCCTGAACCTCCCCTGGCCCAGCTTGAGGCCATTTCCTCTTGTCCTGATGCAAGTTGCCTGGGAAAGTGCTATTCAGCTTGAGTAAAGTATCCAGAAAGCAGAATTTGTACCAGGCTTGGGTGTGCACTCCCAGGTGGGCAGGGTTCTGGGGTCCTGCTTGAGGTTAGTGCTTGTGCTTTGCTGGAATTAATCATGAGAATGGGAGGAGGAAGATTTGTGTCCAAATCTGGATTTCTTCCAATTTCAGTGGTTAAACTGGACCTATATGTAGCCCTTCTCCCCATTCTAAAATAAATGCAAAACAATGTTTCTGCTTGTAAGTACAATAGTTCTCTTATAGTGCTTTGGCCGCTGCTAATATGATAAGGAGGCTTTTATAAATTCTTTGACAACACTCCAGAGATTTGAAAAGTCTGACTCAGTTTGCTAGTGGAGGATCGGACAATGGAGATCTTAGTGCAGCATTTGCAGTCATCTCATTATGGAATGAAACCAATATTTATGTTTTATGCCATTTCTGTAGGTCCTCTTTTAATGCTGTTTGAACTTCTTCCTGGCAGGTGTGATTATTGTCCCAAGTGCTGGTGTTGGTATTGTCCTAGGTGGCTACATTATAAAAAAGCTGAAACTTGGTGCAAGAGAGTCTGCAAAGTTGGCTATGATCTGCAGTGGTGTGTCTCTGCTGTGCTTTTCAACACTCTTCATTGTTGGATGTGAAAGCATTAATCTAGGGGGAATAAATATACCTTACACAACTGGGTAAGTATTTTGGGTGATTATCTCTAGCTAAACTAGCTTTTTTCAATAAGCATGATCTGGAAATGTATAAAATGCTGATAACTGATGTACTGAGGAAGCCACAGGTTCAAATGAGAATTTTGTGAGTATTGTGATATAAGAACATGCTGTTAGTATGTGGCCCTTGTTTTTTTACATCTGGTTTATAATGCAGTTTATGTAGTAACTCACCTTTTTGAGGGGTGAGAAAATGTATTAGAATGGCCTTCAGTGAGGCAGAAAAATAAGAATAGTGTCCTCTGTAGATTACTTAGAATTTATGTAGTGCTTCAAAATGTTTTCTGCTCATGAAAAACTGTGAAAAAATGAAGTGGATTATGAAGAATGGGTTTATTAATTATCACCTTAATAGTATTTTAGGTCTACAGTCCCTATTTGAGAAGAATCACTTGGGCATGTGCTATTGACATTAGTGGTGTGCACTGCTTCTGATCCCCTTACTAGTTGTGTGAATGCCCTCCAGGGCTTCCTGGATCATCATCAAGACAGCAACTAGACCATATTCCCTAAAGTTATAGAGAGACTGAAGAGGACTGCAATGAGGAAAAAGGTGTGGTTGTAGGAAGGACTTGGGAGTGAGGAATTTAGGCCGTGGCATTAAGAAATGCATGGAAAAAAGAAAAAGATACTTGGAGGGAAGGCAGTGTGGTAAAACTTGAGACATTTTCACTGGAAAGGGATTCTGTAGAAGCCTGATCATGAGCTTTTATTTTCTTTCTTACTTTTTACATGAGATTTTCCTCAAAATTTCATTCTTCATGTAGGTTAAACACAGGAGCAGACTAAGTGTTTATAGAGTGTGAACCTACGTGAAGTGATGTTTTTTCCCTTTGCTTTCACATCTGAGGCATGTCTGCCTTTTAATTATGACCAGGTGCTGGGTATCAGATCCATCTGTATATTTGCTTTTAGGGCTCAGTTCTGGACTCCTAATATTTTGAAGAGAATGTATAGTGTGAGCAGGAAAAGAGATGATGAAATGGAGAAAAATTACAGTGGGGCAGAGGGATAGCAAGTGAAAAATAAAGCGGTAAAATGGGAAGCAAAGGAGGAAGAAAATAGGCGCTGTGTACACAGAGAATGTTTTGCATTGTTTGTTGCTGGGTGTTACTACACTGCTGTCAAACCTTAATGCTAGAGCAAAGAAAACCAGCAGCTGAAAGTCAAGAGCTGATGAAAAGCTGTTACTCCTTTGTATTCCTAAGACCTAGAGTTAAAGCTTGCTGCTGAGGGGCTCTCAGTAGACGGAAGTGGCACGGTGATATACCCTCATCTGAGCTTAGTGGGCTGAAGAAGGAGAGAAGAGGGATGGGAAGGGGGTGGAATGCTTTGATTGTCCACCTGCTGTTAATGGTTGTGACAGCCTGTGGGTGTAGATGGTGAAAACTAATAGGAATGAAAACATAAATTTCAGATAGGAATTAATTATCTGTGTGGCAAGTCAGAATGTCCCTGCCTGACTAATGAGAAGCCTGTACCTTTGTGTTTGGAGAAGTCCCATTTGATTTAAATCTATTTCTAAACTGAAGACAAGGTGTACTGTTGTCGTGTAACTCATAGCCTTCATGCTGGATTTGTTAGAGTGTCTGATGTTTTTTTAGTAAGTAATAACATTTGCAGTAAATACATAGCATCGGTTGAAATGTGCATCAATTCACAGCTCTTGTGCAGATCTGTTGTACTTCCTTCCACATTCATGTAATTGTTCTTATCGAGAAAAGAGGTGAGAAATAGTAATGGCAAAATTCTCACAACTTGTTGATGCATATAAACTCTTTGAAATCAGTATAAAAATCATATTGGCTGTGATGTCATCAGAAATTGAGCATTTCCAGCACATTACAAAGCATGGTTCAGCTAGATTTTTAAAATGCAGAGATAAAGTCCACATTTATTATCAAAATGATAGTAAAAAGGCAGCACTACACATAAATTAATCTTGAATGTAAGCATTCTCTTAATTCTCATGATCAGTCATTTGATAGTTTCAAATCACTTACTTAGTAGGCAACTCTGTCGGGGTCCGCTGAGATCCCACACAACTCTTTAACTCAGCCATCAGTGTTGTTGGCCATGGAACTAAAAAAGCATGCTTTCATTCTGAATTTAATAAAACACATACTTCATTCTCTACTTTGACTATAGTGCAGCATAGGGATGTCAAAGCCAGTTCAACGGGCAAGATTGGATAGGGAAAGCAGCAGAGCTGCCTGGTTTGTGATAAATGTATTGCATTATGCTCTACCCTAACATGGCAGTGCCAGGTCTGATATCTGACCTATCTGCACGGGCCCCAGCTCAGAGATCTCAGATGCATTGGGCAGTGTAGACATACCCTGCAGGATCATTTCTGGACAAATATGTTCATTTCTACCGTTTTTTATACATTTAAGCATGCAGTTTTTTTCTTTGGTGAACTGGGTCCTAAACCACTACTAAGGAGAGAGGTGAACTAGGTTTCAATTAACATAGAAGTTATGTGCATACCAGTACTCAGAAAAGCAGGCAGTGACATTTCAAACTCAGTATTTTTCTGACTGTACCAGCTGCAAAGTGGATGGGACCTGGAGGCATGCACAGATTAGAATATATTAGAAAGAATTTTCTGCTGTTTTATGTTGGGTACAAGCAGTTTTGCTGTTGCTGGCATGTCATCAGCATTTCTGTTCTCAGGAAGATCAAGGGCACCTCTGTACTGTACATCTCAGCATTTTAGAACCTATTGCTCCGTGTCCCAGCCTTGTTCTGAGGGTGTGTTTGATGTTTGAATTGCAGTGTAAGGAGCCCTATGTCAAACCACAATATGGCATCCCTTCTCTTGCACCATAATAGCATCCAGGTGGGAAGTCCTGAATGAGCAAATGGTCTGGACAAGAGTCCAGATGGCTTTTAAGTATTTCTAAGGAGGGAAGCTCCACAGCCTCCCTGGGTAACCTGTGTCACCACCCAGTCACCTTCACAGTGAAAACTGTTTCCTGCTGTTTGTAGGGAACTTCCTGTGTTTCAGTGTGTGCCAATTGCCTCTGATCCTGGCACTGGGCACCACTGAAAAGAGCCTGGCTCTGTCTCCTTTGCATCCTCCCTTTGCATATTTACAGCACTTATGAAATCCCCCTGAGCCTTTTCCAGGCTGAACAGTCTCAGCTCTCTCAGCTTTTCCTCAGAAGAGAGATACTCCAGTCCTTCCATCATCTTAGTGGACTTTCATGTTCTCTCTCCAGTACATCCTGTCTGTCTTTTGCTGAGGAGCCCAGAACTGAGCCCAGCACTGCAGGTGTGGCCTCGCCAGTACTGAACAAAAAGGAAATCAGAGATCAGCTGCTTTGTTTTTTTCCAGACCTGTCTCTTGCATGTATTGTCGTACAAGGCAGCTAAAACAGCCTCCATGGTGAGCTTACTCATAGTGACAGATTCCTGGATTAGTTCAGTTCAATCTCTCACATTTCTGATGTGTAATGAATCAACATAGTCTCTTTTTGATTGCTTTGTGTTGTTTTGTTGCAAGTAGAGTTTAGTTAAAGTGTGCAATTGGCTTACTGCAGTATTTCACATAAAAAATACTTATATTCTTCCTCTTGTATCAACAGTGTGTTTTTCTGTTATTCTTGTATCTATTTCAGTCCAATCAGCCAGTGGCATCCCTTAACTTGAAAGCAGTGACTAATTGGATCAGAACAATAACAACAAAGAAGGAATCCAGCTAATGCAGTGAGAGGGTCCCTTGTTTGACAGCTACACAAAAATTGCATCATTGCTGCAATTCCAGCTGCTTGCCAAAAAGGAGACTGCAGATCTCTGCCATCCAGAATGTCCTTCAAAACCAAACCAAAAATACTGCTGTCAAATTAGGATAATCCTTTTTATCATATAACCCAATATTAAGATTATAGAAACTATGTGGTGAGGTTATCTCCTTCCCTTGTAATTTCCTTGGTCCTGTAGGTTACTACAGTGATATCAATAAAAACATGTGCAAAATCAGTTATTTGTTTAGATGTTGCCAAAATATAGTTTGACTTCCTTTTTTTTTAACTGCATTTCATTTAAATTGTAATCTTTGAGAAGAGAGCCCACTTTTTTTACCCAATATATGTTCAGTGTCAGTACAGTGATCTTCCTGTCCAAGTATGTGAAATAACTAGTCACAGCTCAGAACACTCAGGCAATACATTTAATTTTATATTTTCCCTTTTCTCACTTTACTCCTATACCACAAACCTTCCCTGGAGTAATAGTTGGAGAGAAAAACATGACTTAGAAAAAAAATGTTAGAAACTAGAGTCCTTTACATTGTTAGTCACATCTAATAAAGGTCTTCTCTTTATCAGCTTTGTTAGCATTGTGTCATGGAGACACAGAGCAGTCTCCCTGAGAAATGAACAAATGCAATTTGGCAGATGGGGTTCTGGGTTTTGTCTCAGCACGTGTTTAGCAAACTTGCAGTTGAATCTTATTAATGGAAGGAGCAGCATTTTTGTAATTGAAAGAATAGTTCAGGAAGTGCTGTCATTTGGGGCTGGTTTCTGTTTGTGTGCTGTTGGTGTCCTTGGCAGCTCAGGTGCAGCAGTGTTGCAAGTTGGCAGTATCTGCACCTGCTGAAACAAGCAGAGCAGCTCTTTCTCAGATATCCCAAGTTTCTACAGCAGCTGCTGCATTGAGACTAGGCAGCTTTTCCCATGGATCAGCTGATGAGCAGGATGTACTAGCTTTGGTGCAATTTCCCTAAGAACTTGCTCTTAATGGCTGATGCAGGTAAATCTGTGATGTGCTGTGCTGTAATTCAGGGATTAATGCTTTGTTTTCCTCTGTGGAGAGTAGGCAGCCTTCCAGGGCCAGAAGGCAGGATTAACAGCGTGCTTTGGTTCAGCTTACTTCCAGAAAAATGCATACCTTCAAGAAAAAGTGATTCCTTCCCAAAAGAAGTGTTCAAGAAATCTGTTGTAGTATGTGCTGTATGGTTCATCCCATATGATGAAAATGGGATTACACAGACAGATGTTAGTAGAGATTTCATGTCCCCAGCATCTGAAACTCCTTCATCCTTCGTTTCCCACCACTGAAAGAGGAGTGAACAATGAGTGAAGAGTGAAGGTAATGAAAATGAAAGCATGAGCCTCTTACAACTGTCTGATAATGAACTTTGATAGTGCAGTTAATAGATGATTTTGTGTGCAAACCCCTATGTGTGCAAGGTATTTGATCTAAACAACAAAAAGAAATTCCCCAAATAAGCCTTACAGTGTTATGCTGAGGACAAAAGGTGATGAAAGCTGGAGAGACAGAGCTTGCAGTAACTTGTTATTAATTTAAGTATATTTGTTTTGTGTATCTGTTAACTTAAGTTGTCTTCCAGGACAAACAAAAAAATGCGCCTGAGATTAAATTATCACAGTGGTCTCAGTTCAGTTTCCAGTTTCATGCTTCTCATTTCTTGGATGCCTGATTTCATTCACCTTTTTTTTTAAAGCTGATTTCCTAACCTCTGTGTCATGGTAATATTCAGCAGCGCAGCTGAAGTTTACATAGCTGAAGTTAGCTATGTAAGCAGAGCAGGATGGGGAATGGGTTCTCCTGCCTGTGGAACAGCCTTACCCATCTGTTCCTGAGAATGGTTTTAGGTGGTGGAGGGATAAGAGATCAGAAGAATTTGTGCTGCAGGGTGAGACAGGTTAGCAAGTGGAACCAGAGCTGAGCCTTTCCTGGCAGTCTGGGCTGTCCCTGAACGTGGTCCTGTGCAGTGTGGCAAATCCCTGTTGTCAACAGGAGCACGGTACAAGGGTCTCCCAGGCAGCTTGTGGAGTCTCTTCTTATGCTGAGTATTCAGTCATCTGGGACATCTAGCTCAGCAGGCTGACTAGGATTTTGTAAAACTCCAAAAACGCTGCCTCTTCTGTTGGTGTGAAAAGCTTTTGTCACTGTGCTGCCGAAATTTGTATGTTCCTGAGGAATGTTTTGATGATTTGGTGCTTTTTTTCCATTGGAGAAAAAGTTCTGTTGAGACATTACTGGAAAAATCTGCCTGCTGCTGTATGTTGTGTTGCTGCATACTGCTTACTGAAATCCAGCAGGATATAATATTACAAATTTCAGCTGATAGCTGGGAATGTGACAGAACCACTACCAGTCCAGTTATTTGACTTCCTTCTCAAGCTGAAACTTGTTTCTAAAAGTGTACCTTGTTTGTTTATAGAGCAAGAAACAAAACACTCAGAAAGGCTTTGGTTAGCATCCAGCTAGACCATCAAGTGTAAAGTAGCTCCAAGAGCTAAATCTGTGAACCTGATTTGTGTGATCAGTAGACAGTCAATAAATATTTGAAAGCTACTTAGTAATATTTAATTGTCTGCAGAAGTGCACAGCTGGGAAGACAAGCATATTCAGCAAAAGCAAATAGTGGTGTATAAATACGAGGAAACCAGTCAAGTGGAATGCTCTGAGCAGCAGTCATGCTCCTGAGTGCCACTAAGGACGGTGGGTGAAGTGACACACAGCGTGGGTGACAGTCGCTGTGTGCAGAATGGCTCCTGAGCCAAGCCTCTTCTGGTCAGGGGTAGAAGATGGGAACAGAAGAATATTCCTTGTGGTCCCTGGGGTAGCTGGGATGCAGTAAGTCTGCTGCTAGGTGTTTATCTTCACACTGGCATTGCCCAGACATGAAGACAAGCCAGCAGCAGCCCTTGTGAGGGCAGGCATGGCAGTCTGTGAGCATGTGTACAGGGTCTTGAGGATGCAGCCGCAAACCAATCCAGATTCCGTTCAGCTCCTGCCCGGCTGAGGAGGTGCTGAAATTCCCTGGATATCTGCTCAAGAGAGGAGGTGCTTGAGCTGGTTTTAAACAGCAGTGGCCATTGAGCAGTACTGAGAGAAAGACAGAACAAACAAGACAGAACAGTTAATTCAATATTACACTGTAGTGCCCAGCATGGAGTGGTTGTGCATTCCAGTGTAATTCTCAGACATGGCTACCAGTTCTCAAGGACTACTGAAATGAAGTAAGCTGCTGTTTGCATTTTGGCCAGAGCTCTCAATGACCAAGCATAGATTTGTGTAGTTTTAGGGAGCCATGTAGGTGCAGGTGTTTGAGCTGTTTATCCTTCACTCAGGGATGGGAAAGAAGCATTTGAAATGTGTCCAAATGCAAGGGATTTAGGCTTTGGCCACATTTTGGGGAATGGTCTAGGGAAACAGAATGGTGATTCATTTACAGACATTTAGTAAAAGCACAGCAGTCTTCCAGATCTAGAGAGCTTCCTGTAAATTTCACATATTTGTAATACATAAGCTGTACAAGCATTGTTTTCTGAACATCTGTTGGTATGTAGAAAAATATGCCTATTAGTTCACAGAATCCTTACATCTTGTCACTGAATCTTTCATTAGTAATCAACAAGAAATTACTACAGCTTAGAATAATTGACATATAAAATAGTGGTGTCTTCATAGAGAAAAAAAAAAAAAACGGGAAAAACACACCTAGCCAAATATGATACAAATTTTAAACTTTGTTGTTATTTCTTTTATTGTGTTTTCAGTTGATGGCAAGGATGACCTTGGTGTTCTATATTGTTTAAGTCATATACATAACTTAGAGTTAACACAGTCTTTATCCAATAATCAATTGAGTTCCAGAGTTAATGATTAGGATGTTTGCTCCCTCTGTACAGGAGAATACGGATATCTGTGCGTGCTCTACTAGCATGTTCTTTTTCCTTTCTTCAGTCCCACTCTTGCCATGGCCCACAGGAATCTGACTGGAAGCTGTAATGTTAACTGTGGATGTAAGATTCATGAGTACGAGCCTGTCTGTGGATCAGATGGAATAACATATTTTAATCCTTGCCTAGCTGGCTGCATCAGTGGTGGAAACCACAGCACAGGGGTAAGTGCTTCACCCCCCATCCACACACAACCTGAGTAGCCCCTTGGGACCTGTGCAGATCGAAGACTTCTCTGTTCCTAGCTCAAGCATCCCTCCTCTGAGCTTCAGAGAAGTTCTCTGCTGGTGACATGTCCATCTCTGAGCCTTTCCATGATTTGAAAGACTGGCAATGCTGTTATTGCATGGTGCCAGCCCACTTCCTTTAGTTATACACCAATTTGAGGCACAAATTCATTTGTACTAAGTGAATCCTTCAGCTGAGTGCAAGTGCCATGGGATAGGGAGGGCTGGTGTTTTCTGTACAGACCCCAAAGACCTTGTTGTCAGTGACCTGCATGCCTGCTATTCCTGCAGGGCTTGGAGAGGGTTCCTTGGGTCAGTGTCATCTAACCCAGCTTTCTGCCAACAGGCAGCCATGTCAAACTGTCTTTCTTCAAGCTCAGTCTCTACCTTTTACAGCAGTTTGGGGCTTTTTGTGACTCCCTCTCTGAACTGAAGGAAGAACTTAACTCTTCAGGTAGTTGGAAGTGTTTTAAACTCATGTTTAAATTTAGTTAGGATTTGTTTAAAGTCATTGGTGTTTGTGTCAGCCTCATCATTTTGCCCAAGTAGCTCTTGCACCTGCACCAGTGCACTGCTAGTTAGGTCTGTGGTTTGCCTGGCTATGTAAAGACTGCCCATGTATTCTGCTCCTGTAAAACAGTTTGACCAGTTCTACAGCCTTTTTCTAAACCTCTTCCAGGCTAAATTAAGGTTGTCATCAAACTCAAGTAACAAGAACTTAAAAGATGTTAATAATCCACTTTCTTTCATGGAAATACATTGCTTGTTACAACCCAGAATTATAGTTATGCTGAACTGGAGAAGGACATCCTGCTGGTAAAACCAAACCATGGAAATTTTGAGTGGTCTGGAAACCATGGCAGTTTCCAGGACTGGGCACAAGAAGACAGTTGAAAAGTAAAATCTGACTTATGTAGCAACAGAGCATTATAGTCATATTAGTTTCTTTTAAAAACGAACTCTTAAATTCTTAGGTTACAGAACTGTCCCTTAAAAAAGGATAATTAAGAAAGACAAGAAGTAATGTAAACATTGACTTTCTTAGGGCTTGATTGTGCTTTCCAGAAAGCTTACTTAAAACGTGTCAGTCTCCTGATTTACAGTCATGAGCCAGCCTGTAAAGCAGGAGGATGTTAGGTCCAGCACTGTGTTTTTTCAGGTCACCTGGATAATGGTCTGAAAAAGCATGTTTATACATAGATGCCTCTGAGAACAGATTAGTTTCCCTTAGTTTTTTTTCTTTTTTAGATTATCCTGCTGGTTTTTAGTAGAAAATTGTTTTGACCAATTGGAAAAGCCTGCAGTGTGAGCCTGTGGTTAAATTTCAGTGTCTATATAATCTAATTTGTGCTTTCCGGACTTGGTCTTTGTTGCATTTCATCTGATACTGAACTGGCACTATTAATTTATTTAGTAGGGAAATACTCTGGGAGTGTGTGCTCTACAGATTTTTAAACATGCTATTGCACTTTATGGTTTAAGAAAAGATGCTTCATGGCCTGAAGTTTTAACTCAGCAGCTAATGGTGAAGAGAATAGGGCTGACATTGCTTGGAAAAGGAACTTTTTTGGATTAAATAATCATTCTTGTATGGTGCTTTTAAAAACAAACAAAAAAAAAGTAAGTTAATGCCACTGTATAACACACAAAATGTTGCTAAGGTATAATATTTGGATTTAAGTTTATAACACAGAGTGTTTTCAAAATGAACTATTTAAAAGTTCAAACTAAGAGGAAAGGATACCAGTGTACTGTTTTATATATATATATATATATATGTGTGTGTGTGTGTGTGTGTGTGTGTGTGTGTGTGTGTATTTATTTATGCATATACCTATTCCTATACTCTTAATATTTCTGTCATGCTATGTCTGTCTCATTTAATACACAGACTTAGTTTCGCTGGTGATGAATAAAGAGTGTGTGGTAAGGAGGTCTAATTTCTGTAGGATTCCTATTTGGCATTTGCATTTGGAAGCAATAACGAGTTTAGGGTGAGGTACTGTAGAAAGAAATCAGGTACTCATGTGATGTTAGAGTGGAGTGCTGCCTTTGGAAACCAGAATCTGTCATTGGATTTGTTTTTAAGTGATGTTAGGCAAGTCAGTCAAACAGAACTTGTCCCCGTTGGTCATTAGTCTTGTATTCTTCGTGTTCTGGATGATGAACATGAGCAACAAATGGAAGTGTCACTGTAGATGGGCTGCCTAAATCTGTATTTGAAGATATGAAAAGTTGCATTTAGAATATATTTAGTTAGGTATAATGGAAAATGTTCTGAAAAAAAGGGTTCCAGTTGTCTCAAATTAGTCACCCATGTTTGTGGAACCTTTGATCTGTTTCAGTTACTTAATTACAAAATAGAGATAACATCAATACTGTTTTGAAGATAAATGACTCTTTTTTGAAAGAGTTAAGCTGTAATAGTGAGTGTTATAAAAAATCCAAATGAAATAGGAATCCTTCCATCTTTGTAGTGGAATATTCTTAGTCTGAGGAAAAATAAATACCTAAAGTCACATTTTGAAAATAGGAGGAAAAATATTGGATAAATAGATACATTATAAGATGTTCAGCTAAATCCCATAGGAAAAAAAAGTGTGAGGCTGCATGATGGCATGGATGCACATAAAGGTTTACATTAAAATTGACAAACTGCCATGATTTGGATATGTCTTGATGTCTAAGTGCTTAAATTCACTATCTTAAGACGATTTTGTAACTTCTGTGCCTGTGTGGCCCAAGGTTTGATGGATGCAAAAATTGAAACAGAAAGCTCCTTCCTGTGACGTCACATGAGTCCTGGCCAGTTTCTTCTGTAGCACTGGAATATACTGATCTGCTGCACACCCCTTTGCCATTCATCAGATGAAAACAAAAGTAGCATAAAGGTGAAAGAAGGCTATTTCTGATCTAGCTCTTCTTCCTCTTGTTCAAATCACAGTCCTGTTTGCCTGTGAAGTGCTACTTCTTTATTCAGTCTCTTCATCTTAATTTCATTCTCTTTGTCCATTCAGGAATCTCTCAGTGAGTTCTCCAGTCTCACTCTTTTAGTCTCTGCTTTCCCTTTATTCTCTGCTTTTGCTCCTGCCAGATCTACTCCCACATCCAGATGGAAGGTCCTGAGCTTCAAGCATGAAGTGCAGCTAGTTGCTCTTTGGCCAGATCTGGGTAGCCTTCCATTAACATAGCAGAAGACACTGCCTGAATATGAAAGTCAGCAGCTTGCTGAATTTCAGAATATGGCATTTTCACTGCTGCCTGAGGAGCATTTCCTCACATTTTTTGTAGCACAATAGAAACAATATTTTTCTCCAGCCTCTCTGTCAGAAGTGATTGAATTGTTTTGTCAATATTTCCCAAATATGTTCCAGATTTTTAAAAATAAACTCAGACTAAATAAAGCAATGGAAAGGCAACCTCCTCACAGAGAGTCCTGGCCAGTTTTAAAAATAGTTGGAGATGTAACTTTGTTTGTGCTTGGGGTAATGATGCTCGAGGCAGAAGATTCTCAGTTGAGAGGTACTACAGGATTGTTGTACGGTGTCTCTTTGCAATGTCTTTCTTACAAATATTTTTCACATGGAAATGTTTTTTTTTGCTCTCCCAGGTCAGAAATTACACAGAATGTGCCTGTGTGCAGAGTCGCCAGGTGATCACTCCGCCCACAGTGGGCCAGCGCAGTCAGCTCCGGCTGGTGATTGTCAAAACCTACCTGAATGAGAACGGCTACGCTGTGTCTGGGAAGTGCGATCGCACCTGCAACACCCTCATCCCGTTCCTCATATTTCTCTTCATTGTAACCCTTATAACAGCATGTGCCCAGCCATCAGCAGTCATAGTGACACTCAGGTGAGAACTCCCTGATGTTTCCTAAGGATTTTTGCCATGGCTGCTGTCAACAGTGCCTGTGAAGCTTTTGTATCCTTAAAAAGTGAATAGAATCCTTGTGTAGCCTTAAAAAGCAAAGGGGTGACAGGGATAGGGTGAAATCTGTTAGTATTTAGAATATGTAATATGATAATCCACTTTAGGAAACATGAAGTGTGCAGTAAACTCCAGGTGCTATAAAGACAAAACAAGCAAAGCATCATGGAAGAAAATGATTACTCTTGGAAAATTTTCAGCCTTCCTAGAGCAATGGTTTGGATTTTCAAATGCAAAAAAAAAAGTATTTAAAATTAGCCTTTTCTCATTCTTAAAATTGCTCATTCCTGCCACATGCCTGGTTTTGAGTCTTCCATTTTTTATCTTCACAAGAATTTTGAACTTGTACTGCAGTAGTGGTGTTATTGCCCCTACTCTAAGAATAGAAAACAATGGAGCCTTTGTAGGAAAAAGGCAGTAGTGTTTATTTATCAATTTGAAAAAAAATCATATTTTTGGATTGGCTTTTCCCATCTCTGCCATCTAGTTTGATAAACATAATCATTCCATGTAACATCTGTGTCCATTTAAAACATAGTTCCTGTAAGAGAAGTTCTGCTGATTTTTAAAGAAAAGTGAGCTGAAAAAATATAATGTGGTCTGCTGCTAAAATAAATTTGTATTGGTTTAATCTATGTTGCTGCTGTTTAAAGAGAAGGAGCAATTAGAGGAAAATTATATAATTATTTACTAGAATTTACAAAGCATACCCATAAGCATTGGTTCTGCTGGTAACAGAAGGACCAAGAATGGTTTAAAGATGTCTGTTTGGTGTGGGTTCTGAAGCTGAAGAGCTCAGAGTTGAAGAAGTAAGTTCTTTTCAGATGAAGATGAGTTGGAAAATAAAAAAAAATAGAACAATATAGTTCAGTTGGAAGGGACCTACAATGAACACAGAATCACAGAATCTGAAGGTGTTTGAAGGGACATTAAAAATTTCCTAGTTCCAGCCTGCTGTCATGGACAGGGACACCTTTCCCTCACCAGGTTGCTCAGAGCTCCATCCAGCCTGACCTTGAACTCTTCCAGGGATGGGGCATCCACCACTTCTCTGGGCAATCTTTCCACTGCCTCACTGCTTTCAGAGTGAAAAAAATTATCCTAATATCTAATCTAAACCTACTCTTTTTCAGTTTGAAGCCACTGCCCTTTGTCCTGTCCCTACATGCTCTGGAAAATACTCTCTCTAATCATCCAGTCCACTGCCTGACCACTGCAGGACTGAGCAGAGATGAAAACCTGATAGTGAGGGCATTGTCCAAACGCTGACAGGCAGGAGGCATCAACCACCTCTCTAGGAAGCCTCTTCCAGTGTTAGAGGTACTCTTGAGAGGCACACCCAAAATTATCTAGATGCAAATGGGCATCCTGTCCATGAGAACAGGTTAGAGCTGAACTGAATTTAATCCCTACAAGTGCTTGAAATGCTTGTGGTGTTCAAGTCTCAAGTCTAGCTGTTTAGCTGCATTAAGTGCTAACACAGAGACACCTTTTGTCCTGGTTTTGTGTAAAATCTGTCTTCAATTTGAACTTTTTTCAACACCAGTCTTGTGCCTTTTATTTCTGTGAGAAAGGTCCTCCCAGCCAAGTAGGATTTCCTTCTGGTAGTGCTGTCTTTAGAGCTTCACTCTGATATTCTGTGACAAATTTAGGCCCTTCTAAAAATAATAATAATGGCAAATCTTTGTAATAGGTCATAGAACTCTGGAAAACGAGGCAGGTTGGGACATAGCTTTGGTATCCTTAGGCTCAGTCATGAGCACAGCTGAGAAACCTTCTGGCAGGAATCTTTGTCTCACCCCCTCCAAGGACAGGCACTCTCTTGCTGTCATTTTCTCAGCTCAGGTGGCTAAGGTTTATGCAGGTGTCTTCTGCTGGCACAGGGAGGATTGTGCTGTGTCACACTGAGGAATTTTGCCTTCCAGTTTGCTTTTCAAAGAATCCACAGAATGAGTGTAAGAGTCACTGTTGGGACATCGAAGCCAGGCACTCAGGGCTGGGCACATCAGAATTCCTGCTGCTCAGCCTTACCTCAACTATTGTGTGCACAGCACCATTCTGATTCAGACTTCTGACTTTATTCCTTCTGTCTCTGGATTTCCAATATGTAAAATAATAGTAATAAAAAAAATATTGCCCTTGCATTGCAATTAGCAAAGACAAATGAAGATCAATATTGCAGTGAAGTTCACAGTAGTGAGGTACATAAGGGACATCGCCAACAGGATTTTGTAATGCTCAGTACAAAAAATGGGAGCCCACACACATGGACAGTGACACCTGCTGTCCCAAACCACATACTGTGCTTGGTGCATTGGTCACAGGTCTGTGGCACAAGTTGATTCTCGAATTTCTCAGTTTCTTTACTTCAAAAATGTTTCATAGCTGCATCCCTTTGACTGCAGACTTTTTGTGTGTTTTTATGGTATATTTCAATGTAATTAGAAGCTGTCTATCTTAAGACCTTTAGGTCAAAAATTAAAAATATTTTTAAATCGGTAGGTAATTTATGTAGGTAAATTTAAAAAAAACACACTGAAATTATAGTTGCAGTGTGGAGTTTTGTTACTTTATATTTAGTCTTTGTAAGCTTGACATTTTTCCTTTGAAACCGCTGAAAGGAATCTTGCATTACTTGAATTTAAAAGGTATTTAAAGAGACTGTTTGTATGTTTGTACTGCTGCTTTTCTTAAAGTAACTTCAAAGTGCTTATGCTACACAAAGATTTGTTAAATTCAGAAACTGAGTCCAGCCTTCAACAATTTAGTTATCTATTAATTCTAATTCACCTCAAAAATATTAGGAAAAATAAAATAAGACAAATGAAATAATAGAAAGCTAATGTGAGAAACCATAAACATTTTTTGTGGATTATCTAAATTTCCTTAATGTGTTTAGATCAAATTTTTCAGGCCTTGTACAGGTAAAGAAAGGTCAAAAGGCATGACTGAGATTTTGATTGAACAGGTCCAGGAGGGGCTGGCTATATTTTTTCCTAGCAGTAGGAGTTAACAATAGTAAAAGCTAAAGACAGGAAATTAGACAAAGATTTTCTATAGCTGAGAAAAAAGCCATGAGGTAGAGCTAGAACATACCAGGATGATGATGGGTTATGACTTTTCCTTCACTGGAGTTTTCTGTTCACCTGCTAGGTCTGTGGAAGATGGGGAGCGGCCCTTTGCACTAGGAATGCAGTTTGTTTTATTGAGAACTCTTGGTAAGTCCAACAGTAGCTCAGCATTTCCATAAAGACCATGTTCAGCTTAAATGCACCATAAAAGTATTAAAATGCCATAAATCTGCAACTAATTGATTGGCTAACTGTATTAGGAACCTAAAATGAATAACTTCTGTAAAGATTGCATCTGAAAATGTGGTTAATTTACTTTTTTTGCTTACTGATTTTCTAGAACAACATTGTTTCACAAAAAGATAAATTTTTAATGTTTCAAATTGTATTTGAAAATTAATAGTTACTAAATATTATTTTATAAGGATTTTTTAGCTTTCAAAACCAGAATTCTGTTGCTTTCAGCAATAACAATAGGTTTTCTAATTTCTAAAATAAGCATTTGTTACTTAATGCCTTAATGTCTTTCTTCTAATATTATTTAATGTCTTTCAAGTGTTTCAAAGCAAAAATGGATAGATGGTAAAAGTCTTTATTTTCCAAAGAATTCTCTTTCAAGTTCTTGAATTTCTAAAATCCTGCCCATAAAGAAACACTCCAGGTGTTCAGCTGCTATGAAATACATGACTAGAGCAAGCAAGGTCTATTCTGAGAGAACAAGAGAAGCCCATAAAGCTGCATCTTTAAGTTTTGTTTGAGGAAGGATGTTTCAATCTCATCTTAAAGATGTTGTATTTCTGGAGAAAGCAGGAGCGTTCATTGGACTGGCTGCATTTTTTGCTGCCTTAGAAGTTAAAGTCTGTTTCTTGGGAAGATCTATTCAAAAGGAAATTTATAATCTTAATGGTCTTACCCCTTACATCTATCTTCAAAAACATTTTGTGATATTCAGTGCTTTTTCACCTTAATCTAAAAACAGCACCTTTCCCAGCTCACGGGCAAAGAATGTTCAGCAGGTAATGCTACGGAGATAATGTATTTCACTGTAATACAACATTTTGCCTTCTCTCCACCGAACACAAAATTGGATTTTTTCTGGGGGGACATGTAGCTCAAGAAGAGCTGTCTCAGGACAGCAGATTGAAGTTGTTAAGGTGCTGCTGCATTGGCTTCTTTAAATTCTCTGCCATTTGTGGTAGGTTTCATCTGTGGGGTAAATAGTATTGGTGGGAAGATTGGCTGGCCAGTTTTCCATTTTTTACATTTCTTGTGGGAACAGCAGTGTAGAAATCTCAAAAATGTTCAACCTACACTCTTTGGCTGGGGCATATAGTTTCTTTAGAAGTTTTCCACAATATGCTAACATGTATTATTTATCTTGCTATTTTTGTTTCAGCTTACATTCCCACTCCAATTTATTTTGGGGCTGTTATTGACACCACGTGCATGCTTTGGCAACAGGATTGCGGCGTACAAGGATCTTGTTGGGAATACGATGTCACCTCATTTCGTTTTGTCTACTTCGGGTTGGCAGCTGCTCTCAAGTTCGTGGGATTCTTTTTTATTTTCCTGGCCTGGTATTCCTTAAAGTGTAAAGAAGAACAACTGCTGAGACAGAGTTGGAGGGCTTCGCCGGTGAACACTGTGAGTGAGATGGTTGGACAAGCTGGACCCCAACAAAACTATGCACGGACTAGATCCTGCCCTACCTTCAGTTCCCAAGGAGACATCAGTGTGGCACAAGGAATGAACTGCTTAGCACAGACTTACCCCGGCCCTTTTTCAGAAGCAATAAATTCCTCAAATGAAAATGCATTGGAAGAAGTCACTGTTGAGATATAGACCCCTGGCTTGGTAATGTAATATTTAGTTTTGTTGGTTGACTTAGTTACGGCGCCTTGTAAAACACCTGTGCCTTCTATTTTTAATCTAAATGTAACATGTGATAAAACCAACAAAGCTTGATGCAAACAACCATAATATGTTCCTGAGGGCTGGATACCTCAAACCAACCCGAGTTCTTATTTCTTCCCTCCCGACAATGGAGTTTTAAAAATTGTGTTTGTAATTATTTCAGATGTGTCCATTAAATGTCCATGCTCTGATCTAATATCATTGTAAAGTTGAGGTGTTATGAACAGCAGAAGTCAGTGGAAGAGTGACAAAAACTCACATTGTTGATGTCTAGACTCACAAAAATGCTTAAATGTATTGTCAACTTCGTATCTGCAAATTGTATTTTTAAGAGATGAGTAATTACTGTGAGTTCTGCTACAAAGCACAACTGAACTTATTTAAACTATGCAACTTATTTGGATAATTGTATGTGCAGCAAATTAAGTTTGAAGCTTGCTTTTAAAGACATTACTGCAACTGAATTTGAAAGGGGCTATTTTCAGGCGTAATCATTAAATTAAAAAATAACATAAGGTTTAAAGTACTGTTAATAACATGTCAAGCCATACAAGAGTTATGCATCAGGTAACATTTGCAAATGTTGAGCTGTAACATCTTTATCCTGTAAAAATGTGCATTAATTTTCAACTGATGGGATGTAGTCATTCTTCACAAAGTATACAGGATACTGTAATACTTGAAGTAAAAAACTTCAGTATTGGTTTATAGTAACATTAAGATGTAGGAATCATACACACATACCAGAGCAGATATGTGCATATTTCTGCAATGTTATTTGGGTGGCTGTTACTAGCACCAAATCCGTATTTTCATGAAGAAGAAAACAGCTGGTTATAGCTTGATAGGAAGTTTGGCTGTCCTTCAGAACTGCATGCCAGTGTGGCTCAGCTTCAGTGGGAAAGTCCCGAGGGAGAGCTAATGGCCTGGTCTGCTGTCTGGGACCTGGCTGGTCCCTCGCAGCCAGCGGCAGCAGAGTTCAGGCTGCAGGAGTGAGCAGAGGAGCCCCTCCAGGGGGTCCGTGGTGCCAGCTAGGAGGCTGTGCCTGCACTGCTGGCACTGCCGAGGCACTGAGCACCCTGACACCAGGGCAGCTGGGAAGGGAGGCTGGCTCTGACCCTCTGCTTTCTGCCACACTTCTGCCTCTCCAGCTGCCCGGTGCTGGGCAGGCTGGTGGGACAGGACCTGGTTGTGTGGTGTGTCCCACGCATGTCTGCCTTTCCTTTTCTCAGCTTCACTGAAAGCTCCTGTGAAGGCAAAGGGTGAGTTTTTGTCTCCTTCGGCCCTCTAGGTGAAGAGCTAAGAACAGAAATTATTGTGGACTCGCAGGACATGATGTGGCCTTTGTTTGTTCCAAATTACTGTAGTGTGTTCTCTCCCCAGGAGATGCTGAAACTTTCTAATCAAATGTGCTTGGCATTTCATTTCTTGCTCTGGAGGCTTTTAGGCACCGTGCTCATGAGGTACTAATGATGTCTCAAAGGGCAGAAAATTATGTCAGTTGGACACTGGGAAGTCAAGGCTGTATTGTGCCCTGCAGGGGGAGTCTTAGAAGTGTAGGAAATGAAAACGCAGTCTTTTAAGAGGACTCAGTGATAGTCTGGTTTGGATTTTGCTGAGTAGAGAACTTGTGTGAAAATAAATAGGAAAGAGCAGAGGTTCTACATATTTTTGAGCAGTTATTCCTGATTTAATTTTTCAGTTTAGAACATGCATGTTGATCAGACATTATATGGAACCAAGTCATTGAAAATAAAGGCAGTACTCTCCTTGACATCCATTGAGTTGTCCTGGGAAGAGTAGATTTCCCTCTCTGCCTTTGCCAACTGCCTTTTGTCATCATCTGGATCTTCTTGACCAGCACATGGACTACCCATGGGGCTGCTTATTTCAGAATGTGTCAGTCCATTTATGTAGTTTGTAACATTTCTTACTCTTCTTGTCTGAGAACTCCAATTCTCCTACCCCGAACACAGAGGAATATTGTTTTGACCTCTTCCTACTATTCTGTCCATATTAACAGCCTTTTTTGGGTTAAGCCTGAGAATGTCTTTTCCTTTTATGCAGTCACTGGATATAACATGTCCTCAGTTAGTACACACTTCCTGAGATAATTGGCTTCTACACTTCTTGTCCTGAGAAATAAATTTCCTTGGCTCAAAGGTGTTTTTTATATATATATATATATTTGCTAGAGGAGAGCAGAGTAGATGATAAAAATATTTCCTTTTCCTTCAGTCTCAAATGCTTGTTGCACCAAGAATTTTATACAGTGGCAAAAATTGGCAAAGTAGTATGACAAAGTGTAATCGCAGCCCAGCCCTTGTCCATTTTTATCACTTCCCCATTTTAATCATCACAGGGAGAAGTGAAGAGTGACAATCTTTTCAAATACCTCAGGAACAGACCATTTAGGGAATTGTAAAAGACTGAAGATTAACAATCTGTCCTGATCTCTTATCTTTCATGCCTTGTGTGCTTCAGTTCCGTAAAAAAGCAAGGAAGTGCAGATTAGGATTGTCAGGAACTAATGGCACTGATGCCAAAGAATGAGAGTGATAAAAGTGGCACTTCTGCAGCTGCTTCTGTTTCTGAGCTTTCAGGGGATTTCAGAACTTGTTGCAATGGAAACTATCCATTTTTTAGGATATCCTGACCCTTTGACTTCCAAGAACATTCATATTTCCTAAATGGTTGAAAAAGTGGAATGTAGAAAGAAAGATGTTAACTTCAGAAATATTGAAAAAGCCTTCTTTACATAATTTCATTTTTAACTTTTAATTGGAAAATAAATTTTAATTTTTCTTTAAGTATTACATGCAAAACAAAATGTAATTCCTTACTTTTCAAACAATTTTTTTCATGGTTTTGGGTATAGATAATTTTGGCAATGCAAATAAATTTCTATAAAATCAATTAAGTCAGTGTCCTCTGAAAGAAAGAAAACCCAAACTCTGGCCAGTTTTTGATCGATTCCTGAAGGAGGGTTTCTTGTGAGTAATCTATAACAATCTAAACTGAGCGAATAAAGGTATGCAGGGGAAGCACATTCACTTCCAGCATTGTCACTGACCGGTATGTGGACAGACCTGCTGGCCAAGCACTCTGTTCTGAGGCTGTCACTGCTGCAGGAAGCAGCACCTCCAGACACGGAGTGCAGCCCTGGCAGCAGTTGTGGTTGACACATGGTGCTGAGCTGACCTCACAGGAACTAAAACAGAACTTTTCCTGTCATCTGGTGAAGGGGCCCATGCTGTCTTCCTACTGTGAGATCCTCTCACCATAGAACATAAAATTTCATTAAGTTGGAAATTTTGCCACCTTCGCCCTCTGTCCCTGAGCACAAAAGGTTTGCTGGCAGTGAATACAAGACAAGGTGAAGGAGGTGTCCTGCTCACCCACAGGCTGCTATTGGGAGCAAACCCAAGTCACCTGCCTGCAGCTTAGCAGCCAGTGATAATATGGAGCAACATCTGGTGATGGTCAAAGTGCCACTGTGCCCCCACAGGGACAGACCAAATCCCTCTTCCACCACTTAGTCCTCATTTAAAGTGAGGAACGTGAGAGGAGGAGCAACCCAAATATATGGGCTTGAGAGAACAGGTTAATTGTCCCTGCTTAGCCTCCCATTCGCCCATGTTTCCTCAAAAAGGAGAAAACTTCAAAATGGATGCAGCCATGGCCTTAGGTGCTTATGAATGCAGCACCCTCAGGAGATAATTTGTAGATCTTCACAGGGCTGGAGTAATCTGGAGAGTGGGACTGTCCATGCTTCCAGTTTTTGTGAAAAGCCCCCTGGTTTTGGTCCCCCTTCTTCCCCTTGAGCATACTAGATAAAATACAGCATAATTTAGAACCAATGACATTTTATAGCCTTTCAGTACAGTGTGAGTAGCTGCAAGAACCTTTGAATATTATTGTGCAATTTGTATTCATTTGGAAACTTTCAGTTCTTTGGCCAGCCTATATATCTTTAAAAGTGCATGTAGTAACATGCAGATCTTCAGAACTTACTGTTATGTAAGTGGGGGCACACATCTCCTACTAAGTATTAGAAATGTACATTTGAAAGGTCCTAAATTAATTACAAATGCTTGAATATAGTGTTTTCAAAAATATGAGGTTTTTAATATTGCTTATTAATTTGTAGTGTTAGCTATTCATTCATTATCACTTTGATCCAGCAGAACACTTAAATATGTGAGTAAATTTATATACATATACTTAAGTAATGCACTTGAAAATAATACACATATTTAAATGTGGGACTGAATCCTGTCTGCATTCAAAAAGAAATGAATTTATCCAAAGAGTATTTCTATGTTGAGCATTTCCCCCATGGATTCAATGATAATTGTAACCAGAATAGCACAAAGTAGCACTTGAGCACTCTCCTGTGGCATTCAGTGTGGCTACTTACATATCCAGCAATGGAGGAAGGCTGTCATTTTCAAATAGAATTCAAATTCAAAGTATTTTGTGGGAATGGTCTAAGATTCATTCTCACTCTTTCTGCCATTCACTTATTTTATGAATTTCTATCTGAAAACCTGTGTTTTACATGGGGAGATAGATTAAATAAAGGCATCCTTCTGACCTTAGAGGCAATGAAATTCTCAGGTAATGCTGTAGACTCGAATTGTGCCCTTTCACAGAATCTGGACCGAGAGGTTCAGATGACAAATTGTCAGTATCCTGCACAAATGGAGCAGAGCACTGCCTGCTCAGTGGAACTTCAGAGAGCATGTCTGGGACAGGGGTCAGCACCTTCTGCACTGTTCTTGCAGGTTTTCCCCCCAAAAGGCCTGAATAATTGCTGCCTTACTACACTTTTCTGTGCGTGGGATACCACAGCTCTTCACGGTGTTGTATTGACATAAAACTGATGATAAATAGGTCCAAAGTGTCTTACTGCTATTTTGGAGCCAGATTCTTGGCCTTACCAGTCCAATATTGAGGCTGAAGAACTATGGTCATACCTTGTGTTGGAAGTTAACAAGCTGGTGCTTTAGCAAGTGTGTGTGAAGTAGAGAATATCAAGCTTGTTTAGCTTTTATACTCTATTCACTGGTTATTATTACTGTTTTTGGAGATTGAAGACAAAAATCTTCCTGAACAAGTTCATCTTTTTCTCAGTAATGTGTCTTTTACAATGGCTTAGGAGAAGTTATGCTGCATGCTTCAGAATCTGGGTTCCCCCAGCTGTGGGGGAAAGCCATCCAGCTGTGGTTGCTTTCCAGGGGCTTAAACCAGCTGGTAACAGATTTACCAGGACTGCAACCTGCATCGTCATTGCTTTGAACAGAGTATTTGCTGCTTGTAGATTAAACTGTCATCAACATATTTCAGGTTCTTCACATACTGGACTTGATTCTTTGGACATTTTCATCACTTCAGAGCGCTTACAAAATGGACAGTCAACATCATGGTGGTGGATTTATTCTTTTGTAGGGAATTAGGGCTTTCTTCTTTTTTCTTTTAACACCTTGTTTGACAAATAAAAATTCAAAAAGATTGCATGTAAGCATTGTCACAGAGTAGAGATGTAGAGATGTGGGACCTTCAGTGTGAGGACAGGATATGGCCGAGTTCATGGGATTTGTCTCCTTTACACTGAGTATCACTAATACATGTTACTTTGTGGCCAAAGGTTTGAAAGCCTACCTGATCCTCAGGAAGGAAATTTTTCCTGTATTTTCCTCTTAATTTATTGTGTAAATTAAAGAGGAAAGTTAACACTGCCCTTGTCCCATGGCCATATTCATTGCATTAAACTGCAGCTAATAACTACAGTTAATAATTTTAGCAGTCACCCCTTCAGTCCTTCAGCTTTTTTGTTAATACAGCCTGTTAAACACAGATGTAGCTCTGCAATTTCAAAGTAGCTCCAAAGTTTTCTTGACTTCAAGTGTTACAGAAGATACGCTTATTTATTCAGGTACCATTCTACTCTTTTAATTATTGCATTATCCGTTGTGTGTATTGGGTTGGTTTTTTTTCTCAATCTCAAAGTAGTTGTCACAATGTTGTCCTGTAACAGTGTTTTGTTCATTATATAGAATAGGTGAAAAGCTGTGGAATTAATGAAGGGCTACAAAAAGCATCCAAAATGCTGTTCACCTTGAGGAAGGGTGAGACAGCTTAGTAATCTGTAGACAAAAGACTAAACAACACTGTGGTGCTAATAGGTACTGAAGTATTTTATGATGTATTCACTATGACTTAAATGACATATTCAAGGCATGTCAATGATGCAACTGCGTGTGTTTCTGTTCCTAAAGTGTGGAGTGCTCTGACAAAGACAGTGTTTGTAATTCCTGGTGGGCCAATTCCTACCTAGTTCTTCTGTGGGTGAGTAATTTCAGGAGTCTGTGTAGGATTTGGCCCAGCACTATTAGGTGAAGTAGAAGCTACACAGACCACAGAAGTCTCATGTAGAATGTATTCAGCCTGCTGTAGCATGTTACTTTATTTAGTTGCTTTCCTTAAGCAGGGGCTAAAAATAAATTCTGCAGTAATGATAAGTAACATTGGGCTAAATTCTGGAACCACTTAACCGAGCAATATTAGCAAGTGTTTGAATTAAAATGAGGATTGAAATCTGAAATATGAATGTTCTTTCATGGAATACCAGATAGAGAGTGGTAGAATGAGAGCAAATCTGTCTCTAGGAATGGAAAAAGGCCAAATCTGGTTGACTTTAAAGTCATCTATTATTTACAAAATAGGGGTTTGCTTTTAAAATCTTGAAGACAAAATTTCCATTTTGAATTCTGAACCATAATTTTTTTTTGTCTCACTGTGCCTGAGCTGCTCATGCAGGGCAGGTGTCTGTATTCCAAATAGCACTGAGAGCACTAATAGCACTAATCACACTTCTGACCGACAGGCCAGAAAATTTGCCTCTATAGCAAACTCCATATTTGAAAACCTGGAGGGAAATTTCCAAGCAAAACAAAACAATATGTACAAAATGATCCAAAGCTGAGTTTCAGTAAAAAAAAATAAATTTGTGTCAGTGAGATCCACAGTTGAGTGGAGGCTTTTCTGAAAGAAGACCTGTTCTTTTCACCAGCTGAGCACATGGGAGTTTGGCCCCTGGCTGCAGTGCATACCTCTACCAAATGATTTGTGCAGAACAGCAACAGTCTGGGTAGTATTGTAGGAGCATGGAGTGGGCACACTGCCTGTTCAGTTTTTAAAAAACTCATTATTAAGCAAATGTGTAGAGTATTAAGGAAATTTGTAGAGTATGTCTGATGGTATGAGTGTGTGGGTGCTGTGTTGTGGTAAAAAGAGAATTGGTTTATGCTGGGTATTTTTGCATACTTTAGGCTCTTGTATGTTTGTTGTTTTTTTTTTTTTTAAATTTATATTTATTTCTCATCAGGACTTAGAGTAATTTTAAAGTTATATAACCCATGATTTAATGAAACCTACTGTCAGCATCTGTTGTAAACATGTGTTTACAAAACAAACTCTTGAATACTTGATACTTGGAAATAAAAAATAGCATATCATGTGTGCTGATTGAGTCCAGATGCTCTCTGATTTCAAAGTAAGACTTACATGTCTTCATTTCCAATACATATAACCACACCAAAAAATCATCTCTCAGATCCCCCTGCACGTTAGCGGTGCCCAAGCCCAGAGCTGTTGAACCAAGGAGAGAGGATGAAATGAGGTTTGTAGCGCATCCCGGGAGCTGTTGCCGGTCGAAGGCAGAAGAGGCGGCGCAGGGAGGGCGCAGGCTCAAGGAGAGGCGCCTGTGGCTCGGCTCTGCACTGACACCTGCTGCCCACTGACACTGTGGGCACGCTCCAGGCAGCGCAGCCTGCCGCTGCATCCCCTCAGGTGCGACACATCATTTCTGCAGTTCTGGCTTGTGCCCTGTTCGCTGCACGTCGGTTCTCACTGAAAAATGATGTCAGAGCACACGAGCAGGACTGGGTTTGCTGAAACTAAAGGAAGAAGTTTGTTACAGCATCACATGTACCCAGGCACCCACGGCTGCTCAGGACTCTAGTCCTGGGCAGATCTTCCTTGGACAAGGCTGTTGCTGTCTTGGGTTCTCAGCCCTGACTGTTTTACACAGGTCCCCTCTGACTACGCTTGTGTGACTTCAGTGTAGACAGCTGCAGGCATCTCAAGGGATTCTGGCTGAGAGAATGGAGGTGGTCTGTGCTCACACCTGCACTCTAAAATACCTTCCCTCAACTGTCACAAAAACCTACTGGTTTTTGTTCTGGCTGAACTCCAGAATAATGCTCTGATCCAAATGTTTGTTTGTTTCTTTATTTGTTTTTTGCAAAGCTGCTAGTGTGCATTGACCTCAGTAACACCAGGATTCACCTACTCATAACAGCTCTAAGTGAGTCCCTGCCCATGGTGGGGGTTGGAACCAGATGATTTTTAAGGCTGCTTCTGACCCAAGCCACTCTGTGATTCTATGTCTAGTTCTGGAACTGAAGCACTACACACTTTGCTCTTCTGCTCTCAGTTGCTAGGCAGTCTCAGAAAGTGCCTCACACTGTCCTAGGATGTGAGGGCAATACTGTCTGCCTTATCTTAAATTCCAGAGGGAACTTTTTGCATAACATTGCTACCTCCCAAAGATTTGCAAATTTTAAAGTTCTGTCCATCTCCAGGAGCCCTTCAGAAAGTCTTGAACTATGTACTGCCTTTCTGAATAGACACATCTCTACTGCTCTGCAGATCACAAAAAGCTAGGAAGGTCATCCTCTTGGCCCTCCCTCACATGAGGAGCAGTTGCCAGATTTAGGCACTTGCTTCATTCCCGAGCCTGCAACTGCCTGTAAAATCTTCCTGTCACACCATGCACTGCTCATGGACTCAACTGCCTCAGCTATGGGACAAGAAGTACTGTGCAGAAAGAAATACAAAACAAACTGGGACAGCAACATGCTGCTTAGGCTGCACACTTAGAAATATGACAGATTTTGGCCTCTTTAACTTGGTTTAGCTTTATATTTGGTGCATGTTTCCAAGACAGCAAGGGCCAGAGCTCATTGCTGTCTGTATCTCTTGCCTACAGAATGAGTGTCCTTTACACTTTCTTTCCTCCACACTCCTGTAAGAGACCTGTAAAAAAGGCTCCACCTGGTTTAGAAGGTAGGCACTGTTTAGCTGATAGTTTAGATGACTGAGTACTGTCCTAGAAGAAAGAAGGGAGACAACTTTCAAACTAATAAGATGCTCTTTCTGCCATTTCCTCAATGAGTACTTTAAGCTCTCAGGTAAGGAGGAAGGGCAAGTGGGGTGAATCCATGGACCACACTTGCACCATTCCCTTCTCTATCTGTGCCCCAGCATTAAGAGAGAAAGCACCTTGCTTGGTTCTTTCAAAGAACTGTACTTTCAAAGAACATAGGCCACATTGCTGGTGCTGGATAATTCCCTGCACAAAGGTACAAGAGGTGGTTGTGTGGGACATTGCTTCAATTTGCCTTTGTCCTTCAAGCCCTCCCAAACTTGCTGGCTCGGTGTGCTCTGCACCCTGCTTTGAGATACATCCTGTGCTTGCTAGTGTGCTTTCAGGGCAGGCTTCTCCCAGGGCTCTACCTGACATTGCAGTGGCTGCTTTTTGAACACTTGGATTCATCCACTTTCCTGATCCCCGCAAACATCACCTGTAACTTCATGTCTGCAGGAGCATCAGAGTCCCAGGACTATGCAAAATAAAAAAGAGTTCAAGAAGCACAGATTCAGAGGCTGAGTTTAGGTATGAAAGTACTCTTATTCACAGGCCATCCAGCAAAGACAGAGTTTGTGTACGAGGGAGTTTACCTTGGAAGGTAAATTCCTTTTCGTGCTGGCTCTTGTACAAGGAGACACAAGTCCTGACTAGGGATCTGTGGTTCACTCTTGGTAAGGACTGCGTGTCTGGTCTGCAGTGCTGTGCTGTCACAGGGAGAGCTGTGCAGGAGGGAGAGAAAGCAGCAAAGCAAGACATGGCTCCTTGGAACATTTCACTGCTTCTGGGAACTGCTGGTTGTGGATGGAGTTCAAGGAAGAAAGGACCGGATGAATTTGAAATTAAAAAAAATTAAAATCACAGCATGTCTTAAACAACAACAACAACAAAATACATTACTCGCCTCTCCAGGAATAATTTATACCCAAAATAACGTGTGTTATTTTGTTACCTGACACTTTTAATATGGATGGATTCTTAAAACTGAAACTGCTAGCATATTTTTGAAATAAAACTTATTCAGGAGGAAAACTGGATCATGTGGACTTCTCTGAAGCAGGTAAAGTAAAACACTTTTTATTTCAAGAAATATTGCTTCTAGACTTTCCCGAAGCCAGAATTGTACTATAAAAGTATCACAGAAATATTATACAAGATTTAAAAACACAGTTTGTATCCTAGTAACTTAAAACCTATGTACAAATAGCATCATTCATGACCATAAATATGTGTTTCTATCAATCAGCCCATGACACATACATCAGATAAAGAACTAGTAATTTTAACATATTTACAGAGTCCATCAAAAAGACTGCTTCTTAAAATTATTAAAATCCTACTAAAAGAATCTCCTTTTTAAAAAGTTTCAACTTAAAATACAATGTAATGAATGTAAGTTTAACCTGCAGTGCTTGCAATAGCCAAAAAATATTCACTACACTAAATAACATGTAACAGGTAGGAAACACACCCATGAGTTGGACACTGTGGAATTACATCTGTTTGAGGTAATTCTCTTTTGTTACTGTTGTGATAATTATTTAGAAATTTATAAAAAAAGCAAGGGAAAATATTAAGTTTTGATTAATACAGATTTTCAAAGTAATTTTTGTATTATACTTCATATAATTTAATGTTTGGTAAAGTTCAAGAAAAAATTTATAATAACAAAAATTATTACTAAAGTACTATTTTTTACTCTTATGTGCCTTTTGTGTCTAAAATAATGGAAACCTAACACGATTTTATAATTCCCTTTAATGCCTGTTCAAAACAGAAAAAGAATTTAAGACTCAAAATGATAATAATGCTTTCAAGATATTGCTCAGAATAATAAAAATCAGGTGGGGCAACAAAAACATTTATGTACTGATGTAAACCTTTCTACCAGTATCAGCAAAAAAAAAAAAAAGTCAGAAAAAATAATGGAATTTTAATACTGACAATATCAACATATAGGGAAACAATCCAATTTAAACAAATCCTTCTACAGTTAACAACCATTAGCCATACCTTTCTGAGAGTAAATTTAATAAAGCAACACGAACATGCAATATTTTTGCTAAGATAATATTTGAAGAATCTGTTTCCACAATCCATGGTGTTTACCTCTTTCAGGTCAGTCTGTTTATTGGTTTCACAATTTCATAAGACAACGAGCCAGCTAAGAACCTGTAAGGCATTAGATGCATAAATGGTATGGCATACAGATGTTAAAAGTGCATTTTACTTGAAAGCATGGCATTAAGAATTGCCAGTGGTTAAAATAATTGATAAAAAAGACATTATGCAGGCATACTGGGTGAACTGAAATATTCAGTCATGGTGGGATCATTTGGAAATAGAGAAAGTGATTTGGACATCCTTTTAGAAGAAATAATTTTTAGTTTTCAGAGAATGTGCTACTGCATTTGAAAGTTAACACTGTTTCTTTTAATGGAAAACTGGAAATTTTGCTTCCCAGTGTGGAGAAGTGAAAGCATGTGCATATGAATAAAAAATGCACAGAGACAAATACTGAACTGGGCTCAATTTAGCTGCAAAATGTATCTACAATAAACATGGAATGTCAGTTGTCTTGATAACCTTTATTAGTTTGCTAAAAAAAAAAAAGGAGAACTTATGTAATGGTTTACAACTTGATCTAATCCAAGGAGAGTGGAGCTGAGGCACTGCCTTCTGCATTTAGGATTTGTGAACTTTCTCCTGCAAGACTCTGTTTGGCTTTTTTTAAGAAAGTTCCTTCTTCCTGGGTACTGACAGGTGAATCCTTAATGGATATGTTTACAGTCTGACGAACGAAGGGTTCATCAGACCTCATGGGAAGATACATTTGGTCTTCAAATATATCTTCCACAGTGTCACTATCCTGATGAGTGTCTTTTTGAGGAATGCTGATGGGCTGCAGCAGGAAGCTATGTCGGGACTCCAACTCTATCAAACCATTTCCACTGAAATCCATATCAAAACGGTCCGATTCTTTATCCTCCATCCATTTTTCAGCTGGATGACTATTTCTCCAGTGTGCGTCATTCAAATTACTTTTCTCAGGAATATCATTGTTTAATTCAAGTTTCTTCTCCTGACTTAAATTCACCATGCTCAAAGCGAGGGCTGCAAAGTCTGTTGGCACAATAAGCTGCAACTCTTCTGCAGTCAGGCCGCTGGATTCCTCAGCAGAAGTCATCTCCACCAAGGTGAACGGCGTGGATGATTCCTCCCTGTTGCTTTGACCAGTGTTATCCTTGTCTGGTTTATTTTGCTGGTAGTAACTGTTCAGCAGTGCAAACATTCTATCTACATCCTTCAAGTAATTAGTCCAGTCAGCCAGACTAAGTCTAAAGTTGTGTCTGTATTCATATACACTTTCATTCACACTGTACAAGTCTTCCAGTCCTTGCCAGTCAATGTCGCCAGTGAAAATGGGCAGCTTAGCCTTCCCATCCATCCCATAATTGTCCTCTGTTGAAAGAAAGAATAAAGCCTACTGGTGAACACTATTAAAGGTGCAAGCAAAGCTTCCATGTGTGTTTCTACTTCAATTAGCTTGAGAGCACCACTGTTCATAAAGCAGGTAGCTCAAAGTGTGAGACACCACCTCTTCTGTCATCAGATGAATGGTTCTGGCCTCGGGTATGTTCACAGCCCCTGCTGAACACACAGCAAGAACCCCCTGTCTCCTGCTACGTCCCTGAGTAAAAAAAGAACAAAATCTGGTCTGATGGGGCTTTGTGATGACATTCAGAGATAAGTCCTTCCTCTGATATTTCAAGGCAGGAAAAATGTTTCAATACACAAATAATCCATTTGCCTTTCTTGAGCACTCCAGCAAAACATGCAATAACCAAACAATGGTTAAGTGTAAAAGAGGGGACTAACTCTGAAAGTCATTGGTGACCTGAACTTCAATGCCCACATGAATTTTGTTTCTGGATAGCTTAAAAATATGGTCTACAAACTAACCAGACAGATTTTATTTAGTAAATGATAGCCAAAGGGGGTTTTAATCTATTTCGTAAACATTAATTTTAGTTTTCATGGAGCAACCAGGGGAAATGAAAACTGTAAAAAATTGGTGCGAATTAATTTATAGGACTGCACCACTTTGCGAAATTGTGTTAAAACACAGAGAATCTTCTTAAGGTTTTGTGTTTTTAAAAAACTTTCAAAGAAAATATCTAGCAGTCTTTTCAAATAATAAGTCTGAATAAAGAGTATAGATATGGGTCTATAAGTAACAACTGAGCTGCATTTTTTATTGATCACAGCCAGAAAATGCAAAGACAAAAAAGAAACCCATTTCTGAAATTTTAAAAAAATTCACTACAGTAACTATAGTGACTCAGATTATCACCTGTGGTGTGAAGCCCATTTTATACTGAAAAGTAACACTGAGCAGCACCAATTTATTTAATTCACTGGGCAGACTGAATTCACTGGAAAGATTTTATCAACAAGGTGGTCTACAAGGAAAGACAAATCAAGCAATGCAAATGTTTGTCAGGGAAAGTGACAATTTTGCCCTTATAAATGATATTGCAGACAATCTTTAGTAATTAACTCACTGATAATGATTTATTCTCTTCATGAAAATTGTATAGGCAGGTAGGCTAGTAGCAATTGCTTTAGAAGTTCAAGTGACTAAATCCTCATCTATACCTGCATCCCCAAAGATGCCTCTCAGCATCTCCATTAATCTGTTTGTATTTTCATTTGCCTATTTATTCAGGTAGGACAGAAGACAAAACTTTTGTCTGTCATAGATTACATTCTTTGCTTCTTACTAGCTTGGGATTTCACAGAAAAAGAATTTCTCTAATATTTAGTCTATCATATGGAAAATCAGAAAAGTACCATTATGGTCAAAAAACCCTTGATATTTTCTTACAATGTAGGGCCTTACTCTGCTCCCACCAAAAGAGACCATTTTCCTTATTTGAAAACAACTGAGCCTTTGCTCTTAATTGGAAATATTAAAAAAAAAAAAAAAAAAAAAAGTATTTTATTTTTTAAATATCAAATTCTAGAATTTTTCTTTTTTTGCAAACATTTGACAGACTTCCTGATCCAGGAAGAAACAAAGGCTTTTTGGGTTTGGTAGAACAGCTGTGACAGAGCATCTTCTTTCTTTCCTGAAGCAGACAAGAGAAATGAAATCATGGCATGGCCACATGAGAGCCATCTTTGTAAGTCACATTATGGATAATTTGTTTCCTGAAACAAAAGATAATTAAATACCACAGAGATTTCAAGAAAGAAGATTTACTCTTCTGGTGCTTAGAGGCATAAAGGGCCCTAGAAAACATGGCAGGGGGCTGCTTTTGCAAGGAATTTAGTCACTAAACCCTCGAAGATATTAACCACACTGCAGATGCAACCATTTTTCTGTTATTTTCAACCAATATTTCAACCAATTGGTTGCAGATGCAACCAATTTTTCTGTTATTTTCATTTGTAGGGGTTTGGTTTTGTTTTTTCCTTTGCCAAGTCAGAGGCTGTATAGGAAAACAAACTGTTGTAGGGACAGTCAGGTGGGTTGTTATGTTATGGCAGGAACTGGAACAGGAGTGATGCTGTTTGACTAGCAACAGGTTTGGGGACAGATCAGGGGACTGGGGGGCAAAGCAGGAGCCATAAAAGTGCATTTGGCTGCAGGAGAGCCTCTGCTGCCCATCCCCAGCAGGGGAACAGAGGCTTGAGCTGGGAGGCAGGTTGGGCAGTGGGGAAGTCTGGGGACCAGTGAAGAGGAACAGGGTTTCTGAGGAGGCTCAGCAGCAGGGCAATGGGGCTGTGCTGCACAGGAGTAAGATCAGCAAAGAATTTGCAGTGTTCCTACAAAATAGCTGCAAGTTTGAGTCAGAGCTACATGGTCCTTCACTCTGGATCTATTTTTTGCTCTCTAAATGTGGCACTGTTTCTGCAGTCTCAGAGAAGTTTCACAGCTGGGAAGGCACTGGGAATTGTTCCATGATCTCTGTGTCACACAGAGGAAAAGAGCTTGTTTGAAGAGAGTGGTAACTTATGGTCATATATGTTAAACAAATAGGGAAGCAAAGTCTTAAGGTCCTAGAGCTATTTTGGTTGACTGAGCAAATTACTTCACAGTTTAAATTCCACAACTTGCAGTAAACATGAAAAGTCTCCCACTGAAATTAAAGCAAACAGAGGGAAGAGGAGAGGAAAGAAGAGGTTTTTCCCCTGTAAGAAATTTTGTTACAAATAAGCATGAAATTGGAAAGTGCAGATGAGTTGCATTTGAGAAACAGCATGGCAGTAGTTTCCTTGATCAACATTTTGGAATTTCTCAGCTATGACATAGATCCAAAAGAGAAAAAAAATTGTTGCTAGCTGTTCAAAGCAAAACTTCCTCATTATTTTTTTTTTTTTGTTGCTTTGTTGTTTCTGTTCATTTGTAGATCAAGCTTTAGTTAAGCTTTACCCTCCATTTATCCTACCCTGGCATACTCTATAATCCATTTGTGCCTGTTTTATCTCAAAACTAATAAGAGATTTGGATAGTCTCTCCTTTGAGACTAAAGACAGGTGGGTAAAATCATATCCTTGGTGGCTTCAAAAAACTTCAGACAAAACTTCAGACTCAGAGAGAGGAATGTGCAGTTCACACATCCTGTTATCAAACTTATCTGCAGAGCCACACTCCATCCATCACAGGGCAGAGGTGGCACCAGTTCTTCCCTGCTGAAGCTCTCTGTCCCTCTGTGGAAAGCAAACAGCATCATTCTGGCTATTTCCACATGGGCCTGTTGGCCCAGTGCTTTACTGCAGCACAGGCAGTGCTTTACTAACTCAGGGTATTTTGAACTGGGAACAGATCTGAGTCAGAAGCTCCATGATCTGAAGGAAGACTAAGGAGCAGTTCAGATGACTTTCCATTGTTATTCCATTTGTCCTCTCCAGGCAACAACAAAAGGATCCTCTAGTAGATCATTGTAATGACTCCTGATAAATTTGACTTGTTAATTTTTGTTTTGGTTTTGTTTTGTTTAAGAAAAGAAAAACATTCCATCAAGATGGGGCTTGAACCAAAATTTCAAATGTGTAAATTGAGAAACTGGGTGTCTGCAATATCATGACACAGAAAAATATTGCTTATGTTATATTATACTGCTATTTGTAACAGTAGCAAAATGTTTATTGTATGTTCTTTGGTATCAGAAGTTAAAAAGTTTTTGTTGCTAAACAGTGTAGGAAGATATAATTTCAAGATTAATCCTGCATGCACTACTATTTAATATAATCCTACAATTCAAAAATGCCATTTCTGTTAGATCTGTAGTTAAAATGAGGAATGCTTACTCACAAGGACTCCTTCTAATGAAAGACTTAAAAGCATAATTACAGGGATTACTTTCTATCATTGTAGCAACCAGTTCCCCCCAGGCTGTAATGAGCAATGCAAACAAAACAAACCAAACGAAAGCTTATCATTTTCCTAGATCCCAAAACTAAGAAATGCAAAATTGGCTGCAAAAGAAAATTTAGCTGCTTAAATTGGAGATCTATGCATTGAAATACATTAGCTTTATTGTTCTCTGACTGCTAGAAACTAATGAAAAGGTTCTTTTCAGAAGACTCTGTGAAAAAGGTTTTATGTAGACATGTATGCCCCTTGGACTCCCTTGTTTACTTTTCAAGTAAGCAACGTATATCAGCAGCTATTCCTCCAAAGTGTATAGAGGTGAAAATGCAGAAAACTGATAAACTGTGAAAAGGAGTCCAGTCTAAATATGACACTCCACAGATGTTAATCTGATTTTCTCCCCGAGAACAAGTACTGCTCAGTGAACAGCAAGTGCAGCACTCTTAAGATCTGCAGTTTTTTCAGTCTCTTCAGGTTTTTGCTTTATATTTGTCTGGTTTCTCCACTAGGAGACACAGGGCTCTGAACGATAAATATGTAGGTACAATAAGTACACTTTTAAACAGAAAAAATATACTTTTAAAGAGATAACTGTAATGTATTCCTCAGGTTCAAGTGTTAGGTTTAAAAAACCTCACCTGGTGCCTTTCCTCAGTTCAAATAATACAACCTTTTAAGGAAATTTTATTTCATGCTTGTCTGATCTGATCCCAGCCCAAAGGAGCTTCATCTTTCTGCCACACTTAAATTGAACACTCTCCTGCTGGCTCCTAAGCACTGCTTTTGCTTAAAGTGGTATCTGCCAACATTTCTGAAAGCCAGTGAGAAGATTTTGCTTTGCTTACATAGGTTTGACTTCCATAGGTTCTTTGTACTTCAGAAAGCCTTTTAAGCATACTTAGTTTACATTTAAAAAGCAACTGTGAAGATCTACTAAAAAAAACCAGAAAAACACCTCCAACCCATCCAAAATCAACACGACAACACAAGAGCAACCCAAAAGAGGTGATTTTTCCTGTGTAATTTTCCTTGGGCAAACATCTAAGGAGTACAGGCATGAAATATGAGCTGTATGAAGTCTTGCTATGACAATGAGCTACGTTAAATGCAGAATGGTAGATCTAAAAAACAATGGCCAAGTTCAGTGTAGGGTAGTTAGAAAATGCATGCATCAAAAGCTACGCTGTGTGCAACATGGCAGGATACAGACATTAGTTGAAATGGACTGGAGTCATGCAATTATTTGGAAAGAAGCTGCTGAGGAGAATAAAAAAGTGTGGATACCTGTGTGGATCATAGCTTCCTCCATCTTTATTTCCTGATATAGGAAAATACAAGAGTAACTTTTGTTAGTGTTTAGAACTTGTAAACCATTCAAAATGTAGTTTTCCATGCACAGCATCTAACTCCTAAAAAGAAATGTACTGTGTTAAATAAAGACAGAGCTGCAGTCCAACAAAGATTTCCTGGAAGTTTTACATAAAAGAACTGAAAACCCACAGGTTTTCAAAAATAATAAACCCCCAAAACAATTAGGTATTGTAAAAAAGAGAAACATTTGTAGATGGAGAAAGAGATACAGAGGCAACACCACAAATTATGTAGAATGGAGTATTCCTGTGAAAAAATAATAAATAATGATGTTCAATCAACCAAGTTAAGTGCAACGAACTCCAGAGACTTGAAGTAAATATACCAGCTTTGTTTTACCCAGAGACTCTTGCAAAGAAATGGTCCTTTCTTCAAAAATGAAGGAGACTACTGGTGCTTAGAAGTTTGCAATGTTAAGTCTCGGTTGTGATAAGGAACCTGAAGTTGTTGACATAGGCAGACAATATTTGAAATAAACACAGGATTTAATGCCTCACCTAATACTGGGAGGCAAAAACTAATGGAGTAAACCCTGCAAGAGAGAAAAGAGTTATGGCTGTGAAGATCTGCATGTGGCTGTTATTGATTAGCTCCAATAATGATATCCCTTCTGCAGCATTTCTGTCAAGTGATGGGTTTTGCCATCGATAGCTGTCAAGAATAACTTGTGCAGACTTGCAAAGAAGCCTCCTGGTCATGCAGATGTGCACGACTGGCGTACATGGATAATTCCAAATTGTTCAGAGCAACGCTGGAGAGAGTGACACTTCATGGATACAATTAGAACTTAAGTAGATGAAAACAAAGTTAATAAAATGGAAATAAACACTACTATTTATCTTGTACCTGTTTCAAGTCCCTTTGGCCTTGGATTGCACTGCTTGTAACCTTGACAACTTCTCAGTTCCATAAGCTGGATGTGTAATTGATTCAAAATGCCCCTTTCCACTGTGTGAACTGTATTAGTCAGCTGAAAAGAGAGGAACCAAGGGAAATTATACTTGTTAACAAAAATTAAGGAAACCCTGGGGGAGTCTGGTGAATGATATTTTGTAGCAGGGGAAGGGGTTTACCTGATAGGGATCAGTGTTCATATCAAAATATTCCAAGAAGCCAGTTGCAAACTCACAAAACAGAAAATTGTGGGTGTCATTAACTGTTCGCAAGCACCAGTAAGTGTTGTTGTTGGAGCTTGTGCAAGCACAGAAAGAGCCCACTGTAATTATACAAACAAGTTATTAGTTTTCAGTCAACAATAATATGCTTGTTTCTTCTACTAGTACCTTTAATCACAGTAATAAAATACTAGCATTGCATTAAGTTTTTATTTAGATTTACTTAGATTTGGGTACTGTGGCTAGCTGTGAACAGACTTAATAAAAATAGTAATGGTATTACAATATAGTAGCCCCTCTTTAGATTGTGAATTGTGTCAAAAGCACATTTTTTACCCCATAACTGGAGCATTGTCAGAATGCACAGCAATATGAGAACTCTTTTTATAACTTTTTGTTACTCTGCAGTTAAAAATAAATTGACTAATATAATTGTCTTTAAAACAAAAATCCTGCATATGACTACTTTAGGAACATTTTAAAATGTAAAGTACATATTAGCAGAAGTCCTAGTACAATCAGAACAGATTAGCATTAGGAGACAATTTCTTTCTCCAAATGCAAAGTTGTTCTTAGCAAATTTTTAGTTTGGAGTCAAATGTGTTGTAATTCAATCACCACCTGATCTTGAAATTTCTGAAAATAAGGTTTTCAGTCACTTTTCTTCTCCATCATCACAAGTGAGAAAAATACAATTTTTAAATGCTGAATACTGAGAAAAGTTTAAGTATGTCTCAATGGGATAGTAATCTACATATCCTGAAGTTTAAAGAGACTTAAAATGTCCTTTGCCTCTAATGTTTTGTTCATATACACAAGTGTTATGCAGTTGTGATTTTGAAAATACTTTAGCATATAAAAAGTGGAATAATGGGAAGAAGTCATAAGGGCTAGTATCTGCATTTTGTTCATGATATGTTGTTTATTATATACTTTGAAATTAAAATGTTAAAGTAGACCTTTTATGTGCTGAAGTTTTTGACAGAATTAAAGGTCAGAATAATGCTCTGATTGCATGAAGTGGAAAACCAGTGATACAGCAGTGGATAACCTAGATCACATCTGCGTTTTGACACAAGACTCACAGTTCCAGAATGGTGCTGTTTGCCAGTGGTTGTTGTCATGGGTAAAACATGTCAGCCCGGGAAGGCTGCACTCATCTCCCTTCTTCTGGCGCCTTCTTCCCTTCCGCTCCTTCTTCCTTCTCCGGTTCTCTTTGAACAGCTGCAGTTTGCCATCCACCTCCTGTGCTGCTTCTCTGTTCAGAGAAGAAGATGGGCATGGATGACTAAGAACAGTCTCTCTTTGGGTTACAACAGCACTAGCAGTTTTTACATCTTTCTGGGATTTATAAAGGTGGAAGGATAAGAACAGGGCCTTCTAGCTCAACTTCCCCAGCTGTTGAGATAAGCTTCAGCAATCTTGAGAAAGGATGCACTGCTGCATTTTGGTTTTGCTGGATCTTTTAAAAAAAATATTGGTCAGTTTCTGAAAATACTATTTTCATCCTTTTTCTATCAATAGGTTGAAGAAATATTATCCATAAACTTCCACAAGCTGGCCCAAAACTACTGAATGTTTCTTGTGACCTTTCCTTCCCCTCACCTTTCTCCACAAAAAACGCAACAAAACCCAAACCACAAAAACTCCCCAAATGCCCAAAACTACATTTATCCAGGCACCAAAAAGTCAGTTGTGAGAGTGAGAGGTTAATAGCAGCCTTACTTGAAGGGATGAAGATGGCTCTTGAGTTTGTCTTGGGCCTTTACCCCCTTCTCTTTGTTGTAATAGCTACAGGAAAAAATTTTAGGAACTATCAAGTCATGAAACTGTTTTCAACACAAAACCAAAACAGAAATATACTATTGTTGACATTTTCTTAAGGAACTATACAGACTTAAAATTTTCACCTAATTTAATAAAGTTCTTTCTGTGTGATCCTATGCTAGTTTATAGCAGAACTACAGCTGGATTCAAACATGTTAGTAGAATACAAACACATGTAATCTTAAAAAGTTAAAATTTATCTTCTTATGGTTCACAGTAGCTTCTATTCATATTTAACTGAAATAGAGGCCTACAATGGTTACAAATATCAGAAAAGATTTGGGTTTTTATTTTCAATCTCAAAATATCTGGAAAATGTATAAGCCTTATAAATCAGAGTAGCATTCAATATTTAGTGCCACCTCTCTTACCTCTGTTTGCTACAATCACATTCATCTGGTTTTCTTCTTTTTAGGTGTCCTCTAACTTCCCTCAAATTCTTAATTTTGTCTTGGAGAGCTTCGATCTGCAAAGAGAATATTTCTGAGTCAGAATTATTCTTTGAAAAGGTATCAGTGTAAAGACTTCACTGAGATTTTAAAATACCTCTTACCTCCTTATCAATGTAAGCCTTATGATCCTTCCAGGCTCTGGCAGACTGGTACAGCTCCCTCTCACAGTGAATAGTGTCATTTGGAAGAATGAAACATCTGTAGATGTGAGTTTAAGAAATAGGAAAATGAAGGTCACTCATTTCCCAGTTTCCCACCCATTTTTTCTCTTTTTTCCAACATTCCTAGTCAATTTTTTAAAAAATATTCTGTTAGCAAATAAATAAAAACTCTACAAGGTCTTTTTCTGTTGACTTAATTGCAACAATTGCTTTTATCTGTTTTCTCTGGAAAACTTGTCATCCACAACAGATGGTCTGTGCCTGCTAAGCAAAAAATGCAATACATTCTTATTCAATCAGAAATTAAGTTGACACTGAAGTAAAAATCTGCTCATAATCTAAAGCCCCTTGTTAATCAAATGTGCCATTGTTTATTTAACCACCAGCTGCTGAGAAATACGTTCTCGCCACATGAATGTGGCTCATCTTCCCAGCATGCAAAACACTCAAGAAGAGAACATAGTCAGAGGGCTGAAGATCAATATAATCAATAAAGACCAAGAAGAACCAAAGTAGAGGAAAGAGTTCTAACATGTCATTAAACAAAAAGTCTACACAGCACTGTGCTTGAAAAACTGTGCTTGAAAAAAACAGCTCTACCAACAGGAAAAAAAAAAGCACAAGAAAGACCAAGGCAGTGAACCGGGACAGAAAATCCAGGAGACTGCAGGCTGGGCTTTCAAAGTTGCCATGCTGACAAACAGAAATTCCTTAATTAGAGAAATAAAATTTATAGACAGAACTTGTCTTGGGTCTTCCATCATCAGAACCCTTCTTTTAATTTTTGAGAATAATAGGAAAAAGAGGTAGATGCTTATGTTTGTTAACATTATCCTATTCTGGTTTTTTTCTTCACTCAAAGAATTCTGAAAGCAATGCTGTTCTATAAAACTGTTCTACCTTTTATGAAGAAATAATTTTTTTTTTCTGAAAAACTGTTTAAAGCTTTAATAATTCCATGGAGAAATGATATTATATTTTTTCTGGAAAACTGTTTAAAGCTTTAATAATTCCATGGTTGGAAATTATCAGTGTAAGAAAGGATAATTTCTACTATTCAAAACTAACCTTTGTGTTCTCCTAAAAAAAAAAAAAAGAAGAAAATAGATAAATTCTATTTACATTTTACATATAATAAAAGAGATTCGGCAAAGTTGGTTTTTTTGTGGTTTTTTTTCTTTTTTTTTCCTACATATTCCTGGATTTTGAAAGAAATCATATTAACTTTTTAAAATTAAAATTTATTTTGAGATGTTTGCCTTTTCATTCAGACTTAATGTATCTTGAATAAACAGGTCTAATGTATCGCAGCTAGTGCTAATGGCTGCAAACAACTAAGCATTAAGAAACATGATGTAGCTGATCTAATCTGTCCTCATGGGACTTCAGTCATCTCAGATTTAGGCCTCTATGCTAAACTGGTAGTCTAGACTTTATAATAAACAGCAGAAACATCAGCTTAACAGGGTGATTAATCCATCATAAGATGCATATTTTGATACAAGAGACAAATTTCCCTCTGGAGATGCCTACTTTTCCCTAGAAATAAAACATAAACCAGAGGCCTCCATTTAAAATACACATACTAAATACAAATTATTCCACTTCCTAAAAAATACAGGTGTATCTAAAATCAGCTTCAAATTCATAAATATTGTACAGAGGGAGAAAGAGTACAGCTAGAAAATGAAGATTTGGTTTTAAGAAACAGAAATACCATACAGAGAAAGCAATCATACTTGTGTGTCACTCTGACAGAGCTGGGTTGACCCATAGCATCAGTGCCATCAGCCACCATTGTGTCACGAGCAGCACGAGCAGTTCCCTCTCCTTCCTCCTCATTTCCAACATTGTGGCGCTTGGTGATACTTCTGGTCTTCAACACCTGCAGTTCTTCTTCTTCCAGATTTATGTCATATATCTCACCTTCAAATTCCACAGACAAGGATCGGGTTTGGCGAGTGTGAACAAATCGAGGTTTGTATTCTGAACCAGAAGAAACACCCACAGTCAAATATATGTACACATATATATGTATATATATGTATATGCATCATCCATGCCATGAACATAAAACATATTCCAAAGAGAAGAATGCAGTTCAATAAAACCAGTTGATTTTTTTCTGTGATTTTACAGAAACTTATTTAATGTTTTTCTGATACATTGTGCCCCACACTTCCATGAGTAGCATGAAATTTTGGTTGCTTCTAGGTTTGCATTTCATGTTAGTCTGGCCTTATGCCACAGTTAGCATCTCTATCTTCAAATAAAAAACAGTATCTCAGAAATCAGATATCTAGAAGGAGACACTAAAAAAATCAGAGAACACAGGATTAGAAACCACTTTAGAAAATGAAATCGTTCAGTACTGTGAAACAAGGCCACCACCTGTAAATTGGCACGTCACATACTAATGTAGACTTCAGAGTAAAAATTAATTTTTAAAAGGTTAACTCCTTTTCATTTTTAAAGGTAAGAATTTAGAGGGTAAGAATCCATCAGATATCAGTATCTGTATGTATCTATATGTATATATGTACAAATACTTCCACTTATATATCATTTGCATTTATGTGTGCAAGCCATAGACCACCAAAGAGTTGCTGCATTGTAGAGCAACAGTGAGATTAATTATGCCACTTTTACCCCTTGAAAGCTCTGAGTTTAGTAGGGTTACAGATCTTTTAGTTACTGTGTATATGAGTAAGACTAAGTAAGACAATCAACACTTTTGAAGGGTCTTTAATTTAATGTACAAGAGAACCTCTCTTTGGTCTCAGTCTGAAAGACCTTACACTTTTTACTTCTTTTGCTAAATGCACTTGACCCAAACCAAGATGATAAAACTGACAGTCAATACCACTCAAAATCATGCTCTGTCTGGCAATGATGCCTTGCAAAGCCACACACAGAGAGCTCTAGACATACAAAATTAAGCTTGTAAAAAGTCAGTTGCAGGGCATTTCCATTTGTTGCATCTATGCTGAGCACACCCATGTCACCTAACAATAATTTATCCAGCAGAAAACAGCAGCTGTAAGAAAGTACTGCCTTTGGCAGGCAGCATCAGTTTTAGTGAAGTTTTTATGCTAGTGTCTTTAAGAGACTCAGGCTGAATCTTTCCTGCAAGAATCTTTTAAAGGAAAAGACAGTGAGCCTCATTGAACTTATCATGGAAACCACCCTGTTCTAAAGCTTTTCAGCAATCACCTGCTGTCAGGTGAAAAAAGTCTCAGTCAAGACAATGAGGACATTCATCTTCATCAACAGAAAAACTAGTTTCAAAGCATCTTGCTGGTCTGTAACCATATTACTCTTTAATAAAATTATGTAGAAAGATTCATAGGGTCAGATGGGACAATTTCTTGCATTTGACAGCCTCTGATGATACTGGTTAGTGAACAAGTGGCTGAAAAGGTGGAATATATAGGCACCTCATGCATGTGTCATCTGAAGACAAGCCTGAATTAGTAGCTCCCTTCAAAATATTTCATCATTATGAGTCTTTCCCTGCTCTACTCAGAAGAGTGTTAAGGTTGATTTGGAGGAGGCAGAGAAGGGAATAGATGAAAGAATGTTGTAAAGAATTAAAGCATAACAAAGCAAGTTTTTCCAATGCCTCCTTCAGATGTTTTCCATCCTTCCCCTACTTTCTCTCCCCAAGTAACTTGTTCCAGTCACAATCCCCTTTCAGCCCTTGCTGGTGAGTTGGCAGCACCTCTTTCCAAGGTACACAAAAGGTATCTCCCCATAAAAATATCACTTGAGAGAACATTCCCCACTTTGAGAATCACCCTGGCAGTGTGTGGCATGTAGACTTTTCAGCAGAGCTCTGCCTGTACACACTCTTAGGTTCCTTAGATCATACTAAACAAATGGAAGAAACTAGATCAAGACAGTATTTAGGCCAAACAGTGAGAAAACTTAAGACAGACAATATTGTGGTTGAATGTACAAAGAATACCAGGGATTCTTGTTCACATCCACAGTGCGGGGGGCTTTAAATCAGGAAATATTTTGAATGATACTGACATTATTTTCTTAGTTCACAGACATCTGTGCAGCACCTTCTAACTTTTGTGTTTCACATAGAACTTCAGTAACATCTTGCCTTGAAGACCCATCTTTATTTAATTCCCCAGTCTTGTACTCTAGTTAGAGAGCAGGAGAACACAGCCTGCTCTTCAACAAATTCTAAAATGTGCTTCTATTGCTTCAGCAATAGAATTCACTCGCATTGCTGGGCAGAGAGAAGAAAAATAGTCCTCCATTTAAAATCACAGCCTCTTCAAATAGGCTTCTTTTGTAGAAATCATTAGCAGAAAGAAACCCAAGTACTATAGTGCTAAAACCCTCTTGTACAATCCCTTCAGCCACGCTCCACTAGAGGACACTGTGATCTCGCTCGTGTCCCTGCGGGGATCCCGCGCCGGGCAGGGAGAAGGGAAGCGAGAGCTGGGCAGAGTTTCGGTCCGAGAGCAGCCCCGCAGCGCCTCGGGGAGCAGATGTGTGCGGGGCATCACCAAACTACGAGTGAATTTAGCCTTAACCATGCAATAAAACGCTTGGCCCGGCCACCTTGGCAGGTAGGGGCCCCGAATCACGGCGGAGGCCGCCGGGCTGTCGTGTGTGAGCTGCGCGAGAGGTGGCACCAGAGCATCACCGCCACCAGCGCCGCACCGCAGCCTAAGGCTGCTCCTCACCCTGGTCCAAAGGATAACTATCGTCCTTGTTGCTGCTGTTAGAATAGCAGAACGGTTTGCATTGGAAAGGACCTAAAAGAATCCCAGTTCCAACACCCTTGCCTTGGGAAGGAACACATGCCGCTAGAACAGGTTGCTCAAAGCTCCCCCTAACCTGGCCTTGAGCACATTCAGGGATGGGGCATCCACAGCTTCTCTGGACAACCCTCACAGTACTGAATTTCTTCCTAATATTTAATCCAAACCTACTCTGTCCAGGTTTAAAGCGATTTCCCCTTGTCCTATCACTAAATGCCCTTGTAAAAAGTCCCTCTCCAGCTTTAGGCCCACTTTAGGTACTTATTACAGAGGCAATTATGCAGAAGCTGACTACCAATTCTGGACATCTTCATTAGACACGAAGGTGAAAGCAAGAGCACACTGGTAGGAAAATGCTCTGCGAGCCATTTCCCCCTGCTCTCTGCCTCAGAGTCCAAGAGATCAAGTAACACTTACTTTGCACATTAGGGTTTCTCAGGAACTGTCTTTGATTTTTCCTTTGGGTCCTGCTGTTCCGGTAATCAGTGTCTCCACAGTTGCAGTCTTTGTCTTTGCCGCCGTAGCCCCGGGAGTGGAGGCTGCGCGTTCTCTTTCTGATGGCGAGGATGTCGCTCGACACCTTGCACTTGTGAATTCGAAGTTTGCCAGAAGCATCCTCTGTGCACTGCCACTTCTGTGAGAGAAAGACATGAAGATGAGTTCCCAGCAGCCTTCCAAACTCCTGTTGCTTTCAGGTAGACAGTAAAAGAGACAGGTAAATTTATTTTTAAATTTAAGCAGTCCCTTAAATAGCAAACTGGGAAGGAAAATATTTTAGCACAAAAATTCAGTCACATTCTCCACAATGCCTTTCTCATGCTAAGAAAACATAAGCTTGAATGAAATCACCTCAAATCTGCATAAAATATACAACCCAGATGAAAAAAAAAACCCAACCGAAAACAAACACACACACACACACACACACACACACACACACACACACACACACACACCTATATATGTATAAATCAAGAGTATCTAGACTACATGCATCCCTGAAAAGAACAAGTAAAAATCTTAATTTACTGAGTCAAGGAGTACTGACAAGGCAGTTTTCACCCACCCTTTGTCTTCTTTGAGAAAAAGTTACTTTGTTCTGTGACTTGGATTTTCTAGCATGATTCAGGGAAAAATAAAAAAAATCCCCAATCCATGGATGAGGAAGAAGTAGTTCAGTTGTAGAGTGTTTTGGAAAGAAAAGGACAAATTTTGGATGTAATCTATAGAAAAGTACATAAACCATTCCCTACAGCCAGCAGGTGCAAGGAAGGGGAAGAACCTTAGGGACAGTAAACAAAGAAATTATCTTGGATAAACTCCTTTGGATTTATAAGTCATAAGATTTGCATGAGACTTGGGAGGAAAAGCTCTGGAAGGAGTACCTGTAAAAAGCATTGTATGTGTGCTGAATATCAGAGCAAGTGTGGGAGAATGAAAGGAAACAGGTTTTTTTCCAGTTTGTCTGCACAATATCTGTCTGACTTAATTATCAACATCACTGAACCAGATGGAAGATTCCAGGTGGATTTTTCCAGTGGATCCCATCACTTTCACATTTCAAATTAAAAAGCAACTGGGACTTTAATTTCCTTTCCACATCATACTGTTTTAAAAAACCTAAATGTAATTTAAAAACAAAAAATGGATGGTGTTGAGAGATCAGAGCTCCTTTGCCCATATCCGAAGCTTGCCACACATGGCACTCACAATACACTACACAAAAGAAGAAGTCTGTGAAGATTTTAAGTCAGTGGTAGTCTGAATAACAATAGGTAGAACTAGAAATAGCTATATTTATTTATAATTTTAATGCAACCATAAATGACTATTAGTCAGTTCACTTTTTCATCTTAAGCCACAATGACCAGAGTTTGCATACAAAGCACTAAGCTTGGCTGGATATTGCAAAGAACAAAACACAATAATGGTATTGGTAACTGGAACCTTTTAGCTGCAGTTTCAGTAAAGTTTCTCTGTTCTGTGTCCTTTTCTTTGTTCCCATGACTGAATAGCTTAAGTAGCTTTCTCTGGCCTCATTAATAATAACAAGACAGATGGATGCTGGTCCTAATGGAATCACCAACTTAATTTTTGAAATGGACACTAATATCAGAGCATGTACATTTCGGTAAGCTCCATTAACTAATGGCTGCTCTGGACTGTTTTGGGGATGCTGTCACGCTGACTGAAGAATGGAGAAAGAAAACCGAGCCTCAGGTAGATTTTCTGGCCTGATAACCTGAGAAATGAGCTGATGTGAGTGTGAACCACAGCACCATGAGTGCACTCTCTGGCCTGACATGTGGGCTGAATTAAAGATGGATTCCATGCTGAGATCCTCCTGTGGATTGGCATGATCTCAGAACAGTAAGCCATGTGTAAAAGGACCTTAATTTGAACAAGTCCAATAAGTGGCAGAGAAATTAGACTTGTGCCCAGACTTTCAGTGTAAAGGTACACCTAAAAGTGACAATGTAACTTTCTACAAGAAAAGATGTCCAAGTGCTGTAAAGCTTTGCAGATTTCATTCTGCCATAGCATGTGCTCTCTTCCTTCTGCAGCAAGAGATGATTGTTACAGGATAAGAGTTTATTGCACCACTATATTTCCTGTCTTTATTGAGTACGTGTTACAGTTATAAACATATGGCACTAGCTTTTAAGGAGTCTTAAAAGCAGCATTTTAAAGTAGAATAAGTATTATCTTTGTCTCTTTCATTAATCATAGCAAGAGGTTGTAGGAGTGGCTTCAATAACCTTTTAGATCACTTTTAACAGTATTATGACTAACACTGAAACAACACGCTCTGTGTCTAGTACAAGCTAATAACAGTTCCCTATTTAAAACAGGGATTAAATGTGATTCATTTCCTCTTTTATTTTCCTTTTTTAAATTTTACTTCAAAAAAAGTGTCGTTATAAAGATGCTTTAGAGTTCTAAGATTTTCAGTCTAACTTTCCTGAATCCCTGCCCATGCCAGCATAATCAGACACTGAGCATGCCATATGCAGTTCAGTTGTAATGGTCCTTCTGCTCATCTTTAGATCTATAAAATGCATTAATGCACATAAAGGAAGATTCTGGCTGAATGCACTGCCCCTTCCCATATTTTCTACCTTCCTTCCCAGTTTGAATACCAAACTATTCTTTGAAGTTCAGGACTATTAATTTTGGTTTCTGGACCACCATTTCCCCATCAATGAAATAACCTCATTAGCTAACACAAACTAAATATGTCTTCATAAAATTTTAATTTGTATATGTTTTCTTATTTTCCCCATGTTTATCTTCTTTCTTACAGTGATATTTCACAAGACACCTAAGTCAATCTAACAATTCACTGTTGCCATAGGAATATAGGATAGTCCTTGCTTCTGTCTGCCTGCTGATTTAGGGACCCTTGCACTGATTTATTCTCACCTCGGTAGGAGAAAAGAGAACTACCCCAGAATTAAAAACTCTAAACCAATAGTAGAGAAAAAAACCAAGCCCCTGACATTTGGCTGCAACAAGCTGTTATATTGTTTCAGTCATGTTGTGAAACTTCATCTGTGTCAGCCTTTTTCCTTGTCATTGACTCATCTTTTCCTTCTTTCATCTCATTTCATCACCTACCCTCCAGCCACTATTTCCCTCTCACCTCAGCTCCCTGCCTTCAGTTCACATTCCTCCTCAATTTAGGTTCAGAGGGAAAGCAAAGGTGAAAAAGGATTTTTAATGCTTCCACACCAGTGGAGCCCTGACACCCCACACCTGAAAACTGATGGAACTTAGCCCACTGGGAGGAGCTTTGCTAGCTTACAGCCAGCCTGAACCAAGCACGGTTTATTTTGCATATGAACTTGGAGCCTTGGCTGGGTTTGTGTGTGCTGGCTGCCAGCTCTTCCAGTGCCTTCCCTGCCTCCGTCAGCAAATTGCAAAGGAGCTTAGGAGAGATAAAAGTGTAAAAGGACTGAGCAGCTAAGAACTTTGGATTTGTCTTGTTTGAAAGAAACAGGCTGAGAGGCAATGTCACTTCACAGCTGTCTGAGGAGGGAAAGCAGAGAGGGCGACGTGGATCTAGGACATGTGGGAATGGCTCAAAGTTGTGCCAGGAGAGGTTCAGATTGGACATTAGGATTGGACATTTCTTTACCAAGAGTGCTCAAACATAGGCTTCCTGGAGATGGGGTTGCTGTCCTAAGCCTGTCAATGTTCAAAAAGCATTTGGAAAGCACTGTTAACAACACGCCATGTAAGTGGCCAGGCGGTTGGACTCAATGATCGTTGTGGTCCCTTTCAACAGAAATAGTTCTATCCTATCCTATTGTGCTGATTTAGGCTGAGGTAGAGTTAATTTTCTTCACAGTTGCTGGTATGGGGTTGTTTTGGATTTGTGCTGAACACAAGGTAATAATAATATAGAGATGTTCTTGTTATTGCTGAGCAGGGCTTACACAGAGCCAAGACCTTTCTGCTTTTTCTGCTGCCACACTGGTGAGGAGCCTGGGTGTGGCTGGGGGGCTGGGAGGAGCCACAGCTGGGACAGGCAACCCCAACTGAGCAAAGGGATATTTCAGACCATAGGACATCATACTCAGTATACAAAGTTAGGGAAGAAGGGAACATTTGGAGTAATGACTTTTGTTTTCCCAAGTCATTGTTACATGTGATGGAGTCCTGCTCTTCCAGAGATGGCTGAAAAACTGCCTGTCCCTGGGAAGGGGTGAATGAATTCCCTCTTGCTTTGCTTGTGTACACTGCTTTTCCTTTCCCTATCAAACTTCATCTCAACCCATGAGGTCTCCCACTTTTACTCTTCCAATTCTCTCTTTGATCCCGCTGGTATGGGAGAGAGTGAGCGGCTGTGTGGGCTTAGTTGCTGGCTGGGATTAAACCACTATACCTATCCTATCCTATCCTATCCTATCCTATCCTATCCTATCCTTCAGAAGTCAAGCTGCTTTAATCTCTGCCAAACCTGAAGTTTAATCATGCTAGTACCTCTGCCTGTTCTTCAACAGTGTTGAGGCAAGCAAGGCAACAGTTCTGCAGCAGGAGCTTTTCCTTGGATAATGGCACTAGCATGACACATTTTCTTCTGGGGATAGAGGTTTGTCCTCATAATGACATTTCAAAGACAAAGGGTAAGACATGGGCTGGTTAAAAGGGATGGTTCATCCTTGGTGGCTTTGCTTGGCCTTGCTACCTGGCATGGCTCCAGTTGTGACTTGCAGCTACATAAGGAAGACAACACCAATTGACTTCATAACTACCTGTGGTCTCGATTTCCTGGTATTAATAGGTTGTGCCACAGCCTTAAAATTAAGTCTATTTCATTACTGATTATAATTAAGGCAGAAAACTATACATTCAGAATGAATCATTGTGATGTGCTCCACTGTAAATAGCTACTTAGGCAGGACTTCCAATCAGCTTTGTGCAGTTAACAGACTGTGACGGATTTGAGACACTTGCTGCTCCCTTATATAGAGGGGAAATGAATTAGACAAGTCATGAAAAGTGTCCCAACAGTAGGCAAGCTAAAGGTTTCTATGAAATGTAAACACCTAGTATTTGCAGTAGACACGTCAGTGTTAAATACCTTGTCAGATTTTATCACAAAGTTACGAAACCCCGAAAAACATGCAA